AAGGAGCTTTCCAAGAAAAAATAACCCCTGAGGTTTGGTAAGATTTGCAAAATTAGGTTGGGTTGAGAATTTCCCAGGATTGCCTTTGTGTGTGTATATAAATTCAGTTGATTTATCCTAGCCCTAATGTGCAAATTTACTGCCGTGAAACACTGAACTTTTTATTTACTATTAATGCTCTATTTCTTAATATTGAGGCATTTTATTTACAAAATCTGCTTGCCTTAAACACATTATCCTCCAATAGTATACTGGTCAATAATCTTTGTTTTATATGTATTATGTTTTATATATCACTTGCTTTTTAATGTGAGACTAAAATTAATAAATCTACTGAAAAAGAAAATATTGTAAGCCAAAAAGGAGGAGGTGCTTACAAATGTATTTGATTTGCTTGTTTATCATAAAACCCACCAAACTTTAAAAGAAATTAAGACAACCAGTTTTAAAAGAAATATCCCCAGAAAAGACTCTTTGTAACAAATTGGACACTCTAAGCATCAGCTGTGATTGGTGTTTAGAATAGAAGTGGGTGATCCAGCCTGAAGAGAGAGTAAATGGATTTCTCATATTTGTTCCCCTAAAGGCAGTCTAATTATTTGACAATCACAGAAATTATAATTGTTTTAAATTAATCAAAATTCTAATCAAACTGGTCATTAATCTGAATTGTGGTTTTGTATGTTGAATATACATTTAAGTTTAGTAATAACTGTATGCATATATGTTTAGCTAAAACCTAATATGCAAAATATCTTTCAGGTATCAAATACGAGGGAAAAAGAAAATGATTTTGACATTATTAAAACTAAAATAATTTGCTTTTATAAATAACAAAACTTTATCCTGTTTTACATTACTTTACTCTCTTTACCAAATCTTTTTGTAAAGGTCCAATGATAAAATTCTGTTAAGCTATGAAACAATATTTTCATTGGAAAATACACATTTGATTTACATTTTCTGAATTTCATCTATTCATATTGTTGGAATTATTGTGTAACTTTTTATTTACTTTTTGGGTTATTTTCTTACCTTTTAAATGTCTGTCTGTCTCTCTCATATATATATATATATATATATATATAATTTCTCAACTGTCATAATTTAATAATGACTTTTATTTCTCTTTCTTTGTCGTGCTGCATGCTGTTTTTATCAACATCTCATGGATTCCTTTTCAACTGTTAGTCCCTCTTCAGTTATTCAAATAACAAATGTTTGCTGGACTTTTATTAAATGAGACAAAATCATGGCATTAACACTTTATTTGCATACCCTAAACTCTCAAGTTGAAAATAAAATTGGTAGTCAAAGGAATGCTATATACCTGAAAATATTGTAATTTTTCAAGCAAAAATAGCAATAACATAGAAGCCAGGTTAGAAATCGATCACCTAAAACTAAAATAAAACGTGGACTAATTAGTTGGTATGTAGATACAATTTGTTAAGTCATGCTCTATAAACAGCACAATTTCCCAGCTGATTATAAGAAACTTTATTCATTTTTTCTTGCTGACATCAGAAAATTACTTTTTTAATAAAATAAAATGTAAACATTTCAAAGTTATCTCAAAGAAATAAAGACAAACCTCCATCTCAAACCTGCAAGTTTAGTGATTCATAAACAGAAAAGAATTGCAAAGTGGATGTTTGAATACAAAATTAAAAAACTTTTAAAGGTTTAAATATCTTTCTCTGAAATACATTAAGTTTTTTTTTTTTTTTTTTTTTTTTGTAACAATGCTGATAATGTTACTACAATTTGACTGATACTAATTATTGTTAATTCAGGTTGACTTTATACAAGACAGTTTATAATTCTTTTTGCATCACCTGTTTTTTTAGATTGGAATAAACTGGTACTATTTGTATGACTCATTACAAATTGTGTAACAAATACCGATTCCTTATATTATTGAATCCTGTCATATCTTTTTACTGTCAGAACTGTCTGAAGGCTTAGCTAAAGAAGAATGGTTTACCCACTCATTAAAAATTCTATATCCATGATGAAATATTTTTGATAAACATCTAGCATAAACCCTTTCTTAACTCAATGCCTTTCTTACCACTGCTTGGCTATTATAATAAAGGTTGGTTTTCTGTTATGATCATCAAGCTTGATTGTACAGTATGTGCTGAAAATTTCTTGGCCCTTTGAAAAAAAATTCTGTTATTTCGTCCCATTTTAGCAAGTAGGTAGAGTTGAGAACATTTCAGCACCTCCTCATGGATTTTTAAGCGTGTCTTATTGATCATTGCACTGTAGATTTTGAGTAGTCTTTGCAGATCAGTTGGTTTCAAAATAACAGATTTAAGTAACGAGGTAGACAGGCACTGAATAAGACATGTCTTGACAAAGAAAATGTTTTTTGGTGGTTGAATGAATGTGTGTCAAGAGAAGAACAATTATTAATAAAAAACAAAAAGATTCATTGTCTTGTGCTTTTGAGAAGATTTTCACTTGTGATCAATGAAGACAAAACTAGTTCAACTGTCACAAAATGTTTTATGCCAATTATTGAAATATTTCATCTTAACTCTGCAGAACTTGTTCTCCACCTCAAGCCTGAACATATCATGGCCTTATCCAGAGTGATCACACATGCAAACATTCTAAATCACTCAATCTTTTACCTGGGACACTCTGAATACTGTTAGAATATATTGCTAAATCAGTTATTTCCACATTTGAACTTTGGCAATATATTGTATTGTTTATTTCATTATACAAAACTGTTTTATGATTCTAGTTTTTGAATTCATCTTTGTCATACTGGCAAATGCCTTTCCCAAGGTGATTAGTGTAAAGTGAACACAACCTCAGTTCAAACTATCACTCAGTTTTGCCTGTCTCAAGCCTCTATTAGTTTTTTATATAGTTTCCGGTTGAAGGATTGTGTAATTAGTGTCTGAAAAATGCTAAATGGTTTTCTAAATATAGAAATAGATGTAAATTGTGTAATGATAATTGAAAGACATGTCTTTATTCTTAAGATCAGATTTAGTGTTGCTCATAATTAAAATGTTATATTTTACATTTTAAAATAAAATTAAAATTAGTAACATTACTTCAAACATCTTTACACTGAACAAAAAATTCAAATTTACATTTCCTTTTATTAATGCTGAAAACAAATCCAATGTTAATAACAAGCTCTCATAACAGACTGATATCTCTGACAGTCAGATATTTAATTCTTGGAGGTGTTAAAAAAAATCTTGTCACTTCATAATATAAAGATCAAGGTGGAAAAACCACTGATGTTTTTAAGAAAACATTATTCAGTAACATTATTAAACGATAAATTCTATCTCTAAAGTAACTCTTGTATTAGTAATATTTCAAAGTTTAAAGAAATTTGTGGGGACTAATTTTTCAGCATATAACTGATAAATCAGAAAAAAAATGAACCCAGTTTTACTGTTTGCTTTTCATTGGTAACAGTAACCTAAATTATGCAATTATTCCATTTTACATATTGAAGCACATTATTAAATGTAATTCATACAAGGATTAGAAATCTAATTGTGCTTGGTTGAGAAAAGTACCTTGATCTCATAACCCATTGATAGTCAGTTCAGTCTTTGAATGCAAAATTATTAAAATATTTTTAAATGAATGACAGAATATCAGTCATCAACTTAAGGAAAGACCATTTACAGGTAATGCAATTAATACTGACCCAATTTTTAGCCCTGTACACTAATTTCCTTTCTTGTAATGATGACTTGAGTTACTGGTTGATATTTTAGTAATTTCTTCTCATGATTACTTGTGCCATTTCATTTGCATTTGTATTTTTACACCTTTAATCATTCAGCAACATGACCACACACGCATCGGTTGCTGTCTAGCATGCCTTTATTGTTGGTGTTGTTGATTATTTAATTCTGGTTGTCACTTCTTAGTATTACTCTTAAGTTCTGGTTATTTACTAAACAACAAATGTTTTTTCTTACAGTTGTGCTTGCTGTGTTGATATTTATTTTCCCAAAGTGTCTCTTTTTAATAACAAATCAACATTTCTTTAACTATGAAATTATATAATTTATAATAACTATGCATAATTTTATATATTAATGTTTACTATATATATATATATATATATATATATATATAAAAATAAATAAAAAGGATAAAGCAGTTTTTTGAAAATTAGTTTGTATATGAAACAAGACAGAAAGTTAAGTGTTGCCTTCAGGCTAATTGTAAGTTTAGCTTTTATTTGTTGTGCTTAAAAAATAATTAAAACATTAAAGAGAACATTTATATAATGTCTTCCTAAAACATTTGTTGCTGATTCTAAGGTTTATGTTCCTTTGACATTTATGTAAAAACAACCTGAAGCAAGTATTTCTATCTCCAAGCAATCAAGTTTAATGTGTCTATTTGCCTTCAACAGACTGGAGATTTATTTAAAATTATAATAATCTCAATCGAGAATTTTTTTTTTTGTCAGTCTCAAGTCCTATTCCTAATTAAAGTTTCAACAGAAAAAAAAGTGAATTCTTAATTTTTCAGTTTAATATAAAGTGAATTTGTCAATTATTTTAATGACATCTTTAGAATTAAACAAAAAAATATCAAAATCACTTTGTTTAAACCGTGAAATGCCTGTAGCTTTGTTGTTAATTCTAGAATGATCCAGAAACTGACAAAAAAAGGAGGTGGTTCAACAATATTTAATCATTTTTTATGTTAACTGGAGCTCTAAAAATAGCACTGATAATAAGCAAACAATACAATATTAAGAAAGATAAAAAATTTAAAAAATTCCACTCTTTTAGGTAAAATCTTTCTCTACAAGATGTTATGACATCTAAGAGATATAAAAGCCAGATTTAAGATTGCCAATTTTTCTATCTTTGGATATAAAATACTTGTGTATTTTTTTTGGAGAATTAAAAACAAAATTCAGTTTCACTTGGTTTAATTTCTTTTACATTGATCTTTTATCTCATTTTAACTCTGTTTTTCTTTCTTGTGTACAGAAGCTCCAGCAAGTGTTCTAGAAGAAAACCAACATCTCAAAGCTGAAGTAAGTTTACTTGATTGTACATTGTCTTCTCTCTTACTTTTATATACATACAAACATATACACTAGTGATTAGTCACTATAATTTCTACACTTTTAATCCTCATAAAAGAAAAACTGATTGTAACAAAAACAAATTAGAAAAATTTCCACCAGACTGAACAAAATATATGTAAATACACACAACTGCTGAAAAGTTCTATCCAACCTGCTTCCCAAAATTTGATTAAATATCAATTTTTTTAAATTCAATCTTGTACTTAAGAACCTTTCAGGACTATTGTTTTTTTTTGTTTTTATATATATATATATATATATATATATATATATATATATATATATATATACACACACACACACACATGTGTGTGTGTTCTAATCACCTCATGATTTCAGGAGTAGGAAATTTAATTATTGGTTCAAATTAACATATATGGGGGTAAAATGTATGACAAAGTGATGCATTTCATCCTTCAGGACTGGCTTCATTTGTTATGTTGGTAGGGCTACACATGCACACAACAGAGTGGTGCTGGGAATTCTAGAATTTTTTTTTATTTATCTGAATTCATTTAGAGTCTTTTTCTTTTCATCATTTTTTAATGTCGGTATTCCAGACTTATTGATATAAGATCTGCCAGGAATGGTGAAATGTTGTAAGAGCCAGGATGCAAATTTACTGTGGATGACCTTGCAATTAAGGCACCCTGTAGGCATTTACATTGTTGTGAATTATTTTCTCTTTTGATCAGAGTAATATTTTTTATGTTAAAATTGTAGTCAGTCTTTTTACAGTGGGTAGCCAACATATTTTATGTATTTTTTTTTTTTGTAAAATGTCCTTTTTATGTTCATATAACCTTTTATTTAGGTTTCCTCTATGTATTTTTTGTGACAATTATTACAAGCAATGGAGTAAACTCCTCCTTCAGGTTTTAGCTTATTGTTTTGTTTAGTATTGACTAAATCTTTTATTGTCTTGGATGTTGTAGAAGTAGTAACAAATTTTATGTTGAATTTAGATAGATTCTTTTCAATTGTAGATGTGATAGAATTAGTAAGCAGGATTGTTGTGGACCCAGAATAGGTCCCAAAGAAAACTCGAACTCAGCAATTTAGTGGAAACATATTATGAAACAAAAAGAACAAATACAAAAGTGTTGCACGTCTGACTGATGGCAAAGTAGAGTAGTCAACTGTAGACAGCTCTCTTGAGAGGCATAATCTCCCCGTATATATAGTAATAGGACGAGTCCATAAAGGTAGGTCCCATAACAAGGATAATATATTTTTTTTGATTCATTGGGTTTCTCAGGAGGGGCTACTTTCTTTGTTTTGGAATATTTTATGGGCCTTTTGTTTCACATTGAATATAAAATAATTAGGGTACTAGAGAAGTTTGAAAGTGTTTTCAATATATTTCTTCTTTTCGTGTCAATAATTCAGGCTTAAGTAGAATCCAGTGATTATGCCGGATTTTATTTTGTTGCTAAAATAATAGGAATCTATTATGTCATTTTTGTTGGTTGATTTTCAGTGGACACTGAGTTTTAAACTGTTGTTAACACAGTGTAGCTTGATATCTATGAATGCTAAGGAATTGTGTTCTTACATTTTGTATGTAAATTCCATTGTGTTCAACTTTAGGTAGATATTTAAGTAGAGCATCATCAATATAATCGAAGTATGTTGATTGTTTGGGTAAAAAAGATTTTTATCAATTAAACTGATTAAAAATTTTTTATCATTTCAAGAAATATTTTTGAAAGGACCGGATTCAAAAAAATTCTAAGTTACATCACTTCACTGAGAGGCGATCCCATTGGTAATACAAATTTTTGTTAGTACAATCATTATTAAATGTGAAGTAGTATTTATTGGTGATGAGATGGCAGATTTTTATTATTTAATCTGTTGGTAGAGAGCTTTATCTTTGATCGTGTTAGGTGTTACTTTTTTTTTCTTTAAGAGATTTCGGCATTTTTGGACTCGGTCGTTTATGTAGAGGGATTTAAATTAAAGCATTTGTTGGTCGTGTTCATTTTCCTTAGTTTTTCAACTAGGCTACCTGAGATGGACTGATTGTTCCAAGGAGAGGGTTTATGGTTTTTGCCAGTTTCTGGGAGACACTGTCTATTCCCTGAGATGATAGGATACATCAAGATACCTGTTTTGTGGATTTTAGGGAGACTGTAAGGTTTGTGTTCTAGGATGATATTCTATGAGTCTATACCACAACTTGTTTTCATTTTTAAATAGTTTCCTGATTTCCTTGCTAATTTTTTTGTTTTGGTAGTTGTTTATTCATTTATTTTTTCTATGTATGTATTCTTGTTCATGATCACCTCTCTTGTTAGAGGGACTGTGGATTGACTTATTTCTTGCTAGGTTCTTTAATGCATTTAGGTGTCTTAGTGGTAACATATTTTCATTGTTGGTTTCTATAGTAGCAGTGATTATGCCTTGAATGAAACCTTTGGTGACTTCGAAGTCATTTTGCTTATGAACTTTTACTATGTCTCCTTTGCATATAACAGTGGCAAATTTTAAAACGAAGCTGAGGGCTTCACATTCTGTATTGGAAAGCTTTATATCTGATAGATTTTCTATTAGATTAGGCTTTCCAACATATTTCCACTTGCACTTGCTGCATAGGTTGTTGAGTTTTTGTTTCAGTTTGTTGTTTTGTTACTCATTTGTTTGATAGTTTGGTGTAGCTGTCATTGCTGGCTTTTTGTGGAGTTGTATTCCAGCTGTTTTTAGTGGTTAGTTTTTCCAACACTTCTAGTTCCTTGGCAGATGCTTTTAGGAAATGGCATGCACAGGTTGGAAAAATGTGATGTGATGTTCTAAGTATTTTGTGCATGCATCATGGGATGACTTTTTAATCAATACATTTCAGTAAGAAATTTTTTTGCTTTCTAAAGAATTTTTATATTCTTTAATAGTTTGGCGTTTTTCCATGTCAACAGTATGAGATTATATATATATCAAGAACATGGAAAAAGCTTACTTGTGATACATTTCATCCTTCAGAAGTTCATCCAACTAAATTTGTTATGTTAGTAGGACTCCACATGCACATGACAGAAGAGTGCTGGAACTTATATATATATATATATATATATATATATATATATATAAAAACTACCTCTAAAAAATTTGCAGAAAAAAAGGCCTTAAATTTGATGAAAATAATTTTTTATTGTCTAAATGTTTATTATTATTAAGAGAAAAGATCAAAGTATTTTTGATTTCTTTTTTTTTTTTTTTTTTTTTTTATGTTTCACTCATTCCTAGCACATCCAAAATTTTCGTTAAAAATCTTCTTTTTTTGAGTCAGCAAAATTGACACAGTCGATCATGTCATTTTTCAATTTCGTAAATAAAAGTGAAATTCTCCATTTGAAAATCTTTCAAAAATCGATTATATTTTTTTCAAAGTTTATTTTAAAACTAACATTACTTATTTTCTGCGCTGAAAAATGTAGTTTAAAATAAACAGAAAGCAGGTCTGAACATTGGTGATGATTGACAAGTGATGATTTCATCATGTATTAACAGCTTACGTAAGGGAAAGTTATCGTACATAAGGACAGAAATGACATAATTATTTAGTTTTAAGTGAACCAACTTATTTACCTCATTATTTTTAAGGAAAGCTTTCAGCACTCTAATTTTTTTTTGTTTTGGTACTTAGCTTTCACCTTTGTTTACGATGCTCTATGGAAAATATAAAAAAATTAAAATAAGACTTGAGAGTAAGATAAAAATTCATAAGAAAGGTATCTAATTAATTTGTAGGTACCTTTATGAAATTTTATCAGAAGTGTACTTAAAATACTATAATTCTATGTACATTTATTACATTTTACTGTGTTATTTGTATTTCCATTCATTTTATTATTAATTTTGATATTTCATTTATGAAAAAATGTCATAACTGAGATAATATAAAAATAAGATCATATAAATTTCATAAGATGATACTAATACTTGTAGGTACCCTTCTCAGTCGAAATTGAAAAATCAAATTAACTTCTCCACATGTTTTGCATGAACAATTTGCAAAAATAAAGGCCGTAACAGCGGGGAACAATCCTTAACTCGAACAACATGACGTTTTATTGTATTCATGCTGGTCCTCCGTACATTTGAATACAGGTTTCTGTATTGATTTGAACAGCTGTTTTATTGACACAAAAGTCATGTGAAATTTTTTTTTTTTATTATATAGTGGGAGTCTGCTGATTATAACCAGCTTTACAATTTATAATCTGTAAAGATCTACTTAATAACACCATTGACTAAACTGTACATTATTTTCACTAATTTTAGAATATTTAACAACTTTAATGTAAAAATAATTTAAGAAATAACAAATAATTGTTTTAAAAATTCATTTTTCATTGAAGTTTTTTGCTTTCAGACAATATTATCCATATTCATAAAAACAACTGAAAGCATTTGAAATTAATGTCTTTGTTTTATTTTTGTTACAATTCAGATCCAATTTTCAGGTAACGGGACTCTGATTTCTTAAACAAAAAAAAAAATGATTGCTTTTCTTAAAGCCTTGTGCTTTTAATTAATATAATCACTAAATTTTACAGTATTGAATTTCTAGATTTTTCATAAAATTAGTTAAGGGAGGGGTAATAAATATAAAATATTTTTGCTATGACTTTAAAAAAAAAAAGAAAATAATTTCCATCATTTGTGAATAGTTTCTGAAAGTTTCATTAAAATCTGACAATTATTTTTATTTTTGCAAGATTTTCCAAATTAATGTCTGTCATAAAAAAAAAATGCACTAAAATTAATTATTTAGTAGTTCTGCTGACACAAAGAGAAACAAGTTTTTTTTTTGTTTTAATCAAAAGTTAGAATGTTCTTAAAAGGAAAAATTTAAAAAAATAATTAAATACTTTGTTCTTCCCTCCTAATATTAACACAAATATTTTGACGATAAAATTTTGTTTTTGTAAAGTTTGGGGTCTTTTTCATCAGGCTATGCTCATTTTTAGCAATCTCATAGAGGTACCTATATATTTATTCTTACTAATATTAGTTGAATTTTTATGTGAAATTTCCACTGTATGCTTGATCTTTAGAGAAACCAGTGCATTCTCAAAAAAATGTATAAATGCTTTACTTGTGTGTGAATAGCAAATGTCTTTTTTTTTTTTTTTTCTTAAGTGAATATATAAAAAAACTTGACTGTAATTGACAAAATATGACTGCAATATATATATATATATATATATATATATAATATTTTCTGTTAAGAAAATATCCCAAATATTTGATGGTCTTTAATGTTAACAATTGAAACACAAATGTTAATATTTACCTTGGCATTTATTAATATTAAAAGAAATACAAAATTTCTTTCACTAAAATTCATCTAAAGGATTTTAAAAATTTTTTATTATATTCACCTTCAGTTTTATCTCAATTTCCCTTTGATGTCTGTCTGTCTAACTGAATATGTATATATATCTTTCAATTCTTTTCAGCTAAAGAAATTAACTGATCAGTTAGAAGAGGAACGTTCCAAAAAGAAAAATTCTGAAGACAATCAAATATTTCAAGCCAATGGTCCTGAAATGCAGCTTTATGAAATACAGAGTAAGTTTTCTTTTCAGTTGCGTAAGTTTGAGATAAAGATAAGTTTTTTTTAAATTTAAGAGAAATTTTCAATTTAGGAAAGACATGAATTAAATTCTGTTTCTGCTGTTACCAAGCAACCTAACCATAATCTCATCACAAACCTGATAGGCAACAGGAAAGAGAGAAGGTTCAAGTTCTTGAAATGATTTCAACAATGAAATGAATTTACAAAACAAGACATTTTTTTTTTTTTTTAAATTTAAAATCAAATTCCTATTTGAGTTATTAGAAATTCTTTTGATGTTTATAGAGACATTCTTATTATCTAAACAAAAATAAAACAAATTCAAGTAAATGACTTACCCTCATTATCAACAGGGGCAGGGGAACTATTTAAATAGACTGGTCTACTCATTAGAAAATAATTTTTGTAGACTCTCACTCTTTAGGTTGTTATAACACATATGCTCTGGCCAATCCTGGGTCGAACCATGGCAGCAGTGACCAGATGATATGATCCCTGTCACACGCCATACCAGAAGATGACTTGGTTCTCAAGGTTGCAGGGCAACTAATTGATTGCAGGGTCAATCCCACACTGGTTGATACTGTAATTGGTCAATGGGCCATTAGTTGCTGGCCATTCCAGTCCACACTTTGCTCTGCCAATGTTGTGTTTCTTGATCACAGAGCAGTGAAGATGAAGTATTGTCAGTAATTGTAGTGCTGGTTCGAACCATGACAAAGCTTTATTATGAAGGAAAAAAAGAAATGTCCTTGCAGAGGAAATAAAAACAAAAATCTTTGGGTCAATTTTCAATTTGGTTTATGTAGTTCTTTGTATAACATTAACCTTTCCCACTAAAATCTCTATAGTGACATTTTGCTTATTGGTGCTAATTCTTGGAACAGGGTTCAAAGTCAGAGGTTCTCTTGGCAGCAAGCCAGAAGGATTTCAGTAGCACCTTTGTCTGTTTTTTGCTACTTGTCTCTCATCCTTCTTTGGGTTGCCTAAGTCCTTTGCTTATACTAACTTTGACCCAAGATTAGAGTGGGACTTGACAGTATTTGGGGATCTGGTGACTCCTCAAGTTTCTGTATTGATTTGAACAGTTCTTTGTTGTCTGCTTTGCAATATTAATTATCTTTCCAAATTTGGGAGAACCATTTGTCCTACTGGTGGTGGTTGCAGGTATCTGCCCTTATAACTCATTACTTCTCTTATTTATGCCTCACATCATTACTTCCAAATGGGTGGAGGTGATTTTGCTTTTTTCCTCCTCTTAGTATTTCATCTTAGCCCACCAATTTGGCTGTTTCTTTGATAAATCTGATTTTTAAACTGAGTGGGTAAAAGGAAGGTTCTTACTTTTAATCATTAATTGTAATTATCTTCATTTTCAACAACGAATTCTCTTAGTCCCCGGTCCTGTTTATTTAAGCAGACATTTACCAGCTGTTCTGCCAACCCACTATTAGCAAAACTTCATATCTTTTCACTTAATCATACTCATGAATCTTACAGGTCCATTTCATATTTCAATTTCTTTGAGCAAAGGATAAAATCCTATCTCTTAATTTGTTTACATTTTCAAAATTGGCAAAGCTATTTCTGCTCTTTGACATGCAGGCATAAATCAGTTTCTTGATTCTGCCTTTGTCTTTAAAATTACCAAAGATCATAACTCAATTGACTCCTTCCATCTGGTAATCATGAGATATGTTTTTATAATTTCCACTTTAATCAAGTGGACATAAATCGATTTCTACTTCTCTTTATAAAATCCTCACCTAACCTCAAATGTACTTTCACTATTCCTTCTCGAACCTCATGGCCTCTGATAATATCTTTCCCAAAACCAATAAAGTCATTCTTTTCAGGTGTCTTTTCTTCAAGCTAGATTTTCAATAGGAAACCATTTTGTTTCTTCTTTCAGCTTATGTTATTCTGTACTTTTAACCCTCTACAGCTGTTCCAGTTCATATTTTAAATTAACCTTTTTCCTTTTACCACTGTCACACTTTCCAAAACTGGAAAATTGATTTAGAAAAGGGGGTAGTGTTTATCTCGATACAGTCCTACTTTGAAAAGTTACTGGCCTTAGGCTAAATCACTTTATTATTTACAAATGTCAGTTTGAAAATGTGCTAGCATTATTGATATCTGCATATATTTTTTAAAAATTTTCTGAATTTGCAAGCACATGCATAAACATTCGAGGTTCATAATTATTCATCTTAAATTAAGAATAAATGGATACATAATCTTATGCAAATTTTTCTCTAATTTAAAAATATCGATTTCCATTTGTTCATTAAAAAAAATCCTTTTTGTATACTCCCCCCCCCAAATCTTGTTTCTGCATGCAAAACAACTAAGGCCAATAACTCTGTAAAAGTCATGGATCAATTCAACACTGTATCAATATTATAAACAAGACCCTTCTAAATCAATGTCTTGATTCTAACAAGTGTAACAGCTTCAGGGAGATCTAAAGAATTTCTAATCTGCAATAGTTACTTCTCAAACACCACCACCCCCTTTTTTAATAAGTGGACCACTCTCTAAGCAGTTGTACTGTAAAAAAAGATTCTTTTCTTAAATTTCAGGCAGTAAATAATTGAATCCTGGTGAATTTGTTGGAAGTTGTCATTTAATGGTGGCATATTGGCAAGAGAGAAAAAAAAAACTTATTTTTTATTTATTATATTTATTTATTTATTTTTTATTTTATTTTTTTACAGGAGAAGCCAGCAAACAAATACATGAATATAAACTGAAACTTCAAAAAGCCGAACAAGATATTGCTACTTTAGAAGGATCTGTAAGTTGAAACTTTTGTTGAGTTGTTTTTGTCGTTGTGGTTTGAATTTATATATTGAGCTCTGTCCAATGCTATAAATCCCATTAATACAAATTCGATTGATTGAAAGAAGAAAAAAAATCTAATGCAGCATTGAACCTGATCATCTCATGTTTAGTCCTAGTGAAGATTCTGAACAAATTTGCTTCTGAATACAGAATAGATTTCTCAATGCTTTGGATTTTTGGTGATATAAAAAAAAAAACAAACACTTTCATTAAATGCCTGAATTGATTGTGATCAGCTTTGCATGAAAAATATAAAAAATTACTGAAAAAGAGGAATTATGACCCATCAACTGCTACTCAATCTCATTCTCTCACTCCTATAATTTTAAATGTTTGAATCTAATCAGTTATGATTTTCTTGTTTGGACACGTCTCTGAGAAATGAATGAATGATAAACAATGGTTTAAGATTCATTCTACTGATCGGTACACAATATGAAAGAATTAAAAGGAAATGTAATCCAAACCAAAGAGTCCTCTTGTCTAACAGACTGTGTAATACTTGAAATCTTTGTTCTTTTTTTCTTTTTACTCCTCAAATGAGAGATCCTTTACTTATTCTGTCATGTTCAGTTCTATACTTTCTTACTATGACAACCTCTTCAACATTCCTATGAAAATAAAAATCTTTTATTCTTTCTGTAGGTCAACAGGTTGGATTCTCAAGTGAAACGCTACAGAGCAGAAGCTGAAGATTCTGAAAAATTGGAAGATGAATTGAAACAAGAGAAAAGAAAACTGATGCGTGAGGTAAAGAAAACTCATATAATTTATTTTTTATAAAGAGAGAATGAAAAAAATTTGTTTGGATTAAAATCTAGCATAAAAGATCAATAAATCTCACTTATGACATTAGCCTTATCACTAATGATAGGGATTTCAAATTATTTAAGTTTATATATATATAAAAACAAGTCGCTTGCAAATTCTTGTAGATTTTTTTTTTTTTTATCTGGAAAAAATCCGATCTACATGGGAAACTATAATGGAAACATTTTTTTTTTTCTATTTTAGTTACTTTAATGAACTTTTTTCATTGATATTTCTTTTTAAATATTTTTTTAATTGTGTGGAAAATAGAAGTATTTTAATATAAATTATAATAACTGAAAAATGTTTGGGTTTGCTTCTGATTTTTAGCTTTTTAATTGGTTGTATTAAGAATAATTTATGAATTCAAACAAAAAAATAAATGCATGTCTAATTCAACCAACATGGTCTGTCTCTCAATCCAAATCAGAATTGTGGATAAACTGTCCAAAGTTAATTTTTCTTGATCTGTTTTTGTTTAAGTACTTCTAACAATCAGTCATTATCAACAATTAAATGTTAGTACAGTAAACAATATTTTGATGGCTACATCCTGGCATTGCAAATTCATATATCATAATGTGTACAAGTTTCACAAGCTTTACTTCAGAAAATGAATGTATAAAATATTGTTATATGCATATTAAATATTTCTACTCTTTAAAATACCATATCCTATGATGAAAGATATTAATTTAATGTAGGCTATTTTGCATAAGAGTTTTGAGTCTTACTTTACAGTGAATGCTGTATAGTATTTTAATATTATCTACTAATATTTATCTTCTGAGAATAATTGTATTTTGATTGTTTATGTAATGATCAATAGTTGCACAAACTTTTTTGTTTTCTAATAAATTTAAGTTATCTCATGTTTATAGTTAATGTGCAAATTATGTTTGCAATTTTGTTCATATCAGGATTATTGCTTGTTATTTTGCTCTAAGATTCTTTAAAGTTAATGACATGGTTGGGAAACTATTAAGTGTTTGTTACTCCATTTTTTATAAAATAATGTGCCTGAGAAATAAATTACTTTTTGCCTAGTTAATGTTTTTATAACAGCTATTTTATATCTGTGAAGCTATTCACTTTTGTAATTTAATTTTTACTTTGTGCTTTTTATTCTACAGTAAAGTATTAAAAGTATAACTTACTGTCAACTAAAACCTCAAGGAAAACAGTTCTATTATTAATTTTAAGCCTTTTTTCTCCCTAAGGTCTTATTACAATTAATATATAATGAGGAAGAATTTTGAATCCATCACTTTGAACTCCATTAACAAAGATGTAGAAAATGTTATATGCATTTTAATCTTTGATTTATCTATGTTAAAACAGTTTTAATGAAACAAAAACCAAATTGAACTATGAAATCTGGGACAAAAATATGACCTGAAACAAAATAAACATAAAAGGAACTTTTTTATTTATTTAAAGTAACTATTGTTATGCTGAATTATTTGATAAACATGTTTTTTATGATTATAGAAGTATAAAAAATTAACTCTTAAAATGTTTAATTTAGCAGCAGGGCTAGGGTTAACGTTCAATATCTAAATTAATTTTATCATCAATGTTGTTTTGAATAATATTATAGAGAAAAATATTAAATTAACTAAAATAATAAATTTGGCTGTATGAAAAAAAAAATCAAGTCTTAAAAATTTTACATTAAAATTAACTTTCTTTGGAGTGACTTAGTAACAAGACTAAGAAAACAGAATTAATAAATTATTTTGGCATAAAAGGTTTGGTAAAAACTCAAACAAATACAGATTAATCAAAAATAAAAGTTGATCATTTGTGCATTTACAGAGAATTATCTAACTTCCAAGTAATAAGACCCAGTTTCCTAAATTACATTTTTTTTCATAAATTTCACACAAAAAAAATATGGCAAGTCCAAAGGAAGTAAAATAAATTAATTTTATACTTTAATTAAATAAACTATTCCAACTGTAAAATGTAAAGATTTCTTAATCCAACTGCAGCAGCAAACTACAAATCTTTACTCCTAGTAGAACAATGATATTTGATAGTGGAGGCCTATAATTTGGTCTTTAGTAAAGAATTCTATGGGTGAAATTATTAAAGATTTTGTTCTCTGTGTGCATACTGTAGAAGTTTGATAAAGTGGGACTAAGAGCTATGCTAATAGTGTGTGTGTGTGTGTGTAAACATTAACATTTTTTGTTGTGCAAGATAGAAGTTTATATAGAATTGTTGGTTTAATATTAAGATGTGGGAGCAAATGATGCTTATATATATTGGTAAAGGAAAAAAACAACTTTGACATCTAAGACTAGGTTGCCATTTTTAGGTTTATTTGAGTGCAGTATTTCAAAAGATTCATTAACACTATTTTTTGGGTAAGTATGGTAGGATCAGTTAGTTTCAATCTTTGGTGGACAAGTGATATAGAAGTGGAGAGAACTGAAATTTGTGTGCTTTTTATGTTAGCATACAGGTAGCCTAGTTAATGCACACTTAGGATTTTGTAGAGTTTCATGGATCCAACTCCAGCATTAATAGCTGTTTATTTATCTGTGTCTTGGGGAGGGTGATAGTTTTTTATTTTTTTGTATTTAGCTGTTTTTGAGAAAAGGGTTACATTGAAATGGGTTTTCATTTAATCATGAAAGTTAAGCAATGACTAACTGCTTGGGAATATCAGGTGTTATAAGCGTGTATGTTTGGGTGGTGTAATAAATATTGGTTCAGAATTGGAGCTATGGGTTAATTAAATTGTATCAGTAAATCATTATCTCTAATTTTTTTTTTTTTTTTTTTTTTTAGATTCTAAAAATATTTTCTGACTTTAAATAGCTTGCAAAAGGTTGATCACCTGTGATTAATAAATCAATTAATAATGCTTTTGAAAAAAGTCTGTTTTGCAATGTAATCAATATCAATTTAAAAAAAAATGTTTACATTAGCCACACACTTTTGTAGGTTAATTTGTCACTTTCTGCAATTTGTGCACACATCGAAAATCATAAACAACTAAAATACACCTATTAACATGAGACAAATATTAGTATATAAAACCATAATACTATATACTACATTCACTGCAAGGAAATACTCAAAATACTCAAAGCTGTTATTATAAAAAAGAAATAACCTGTATTAAATAAAATATCTTTAATCACAGGGGACAAAAAAAAAAAAAATGCATAAAATGAGAAATTGAATTTCCAGTACAGTCAATCTATGTGAAATGGTTGTACATGTGACTTCACTCAATATTAATGACAGATCCACCAAATTAATAATGGCAGATTTAAAACTTAGTGGATAACAAAATACCAGATTCAATAAGTACAACTATATACATCTCTAAACCAGTTGTCTTACTAGTCTGAGTCTGTTATCTAAGGGTCTTTTTTTTTTTTCACTATTCTGGGATCAATATTTAATTTGTAGTAGTTTAGTGTATATATTTGAGAAAATTTGTATCTGTCCACATGAGGAATTTGCTGATGGTATAAAAAAAACAAAAAAAAAAGTCCTTGAAGATAACCTCTCTACATTTCAGTCTTATTTATTTATAAATCTACCATTCATCCTTACTTTGAATACTGTTGCCACATTTAGTCTCATACAGTGGCTTGCAAAAGTCTACACCTCCTTTGAAAATTTATATATTTTGTATAATTTAACAGGGAACAACACATTTTTTCAATTCCAATGATTGTTAAATAATAAGCAGATCCATTTCCTTTGATATAAAAATTACATTTTAAAACTTTCACACTGATTGTTAAACTCATATAACTTAGAAAAATGTCTTTGCAAAAGTCTACACCCCACGCAGATATTATACTGTATTATCGCGTAGTTTATCATTGATGTATACAATCCAGAACAATCAAAAGTGACATGTGCGTTCTACCATAACAAACAAACTTGGTCAGTCTATTATTTTGCTATATAAGATGATTTAACTACCTACAAAATCATCCACCACATGGTTTCTCTGACTGTAAACACAAGGTGTCCAACTTAGGAAAGAAAATTTGGCAAGCCTCTGTCTCAGGAACCTTATTATTCAAAAGTACAATGAAAATAATGGTTGTAAAAAGATTGCAAAAACTTTAGAATTGCCCCTAAGCACTGTTAAAACTGTAGTTAAGAAGTGGTTAGTGCACAAAACCACTGCTACCCTACCAAGATCTGGGAGACTGAGCAAAATTACCAGAACAAAATCAAAACTGGTCTGAGAGGCAACCTCCAACCCTAGTGCAACACTGGAAGACTTGAAAGCTTCAGTTTCCAGTACTAGGACAGATGTCCATGCATCTGCAATTTCCAGAGTATAGCACCAGTCTGGCCTGCAAGGGAGGGTAGCTAGAAAAAAGCCCCTTCTGAAGCCTATGCACAAGCAAGCTAGGCTAAACTTTGCCAAAAGTCACATCAATGATTCCATGACCATGTGGCGAAATATTTTGTGGTCAGATGAGACCAAAGTTATTTGGAAAAAATATGAAACACTATGTTTGGTGAAAGAAAGGCACTGCTCACCAACCTCATTACACCATCCACACTGTAAAGCATGCCTGTGACTCGATCATGCTTTGGGGCTGTTTTCAGCTGCAGGGCCTGGAGAGCTGGTAACCATCCAAGGTGTCATGGACAGTGTCAAGTACCAAAAAATATTGGAGGCAAACCTGTTGAAGCCCTGTGCTTGGGTTGCAATTTCAAGTTTCCAAGCATGTGTCAAAAAGCACTAAAGCTTGGTTTGCTAGCAAGAAAATCAGTTTTGGAGTGGCCCAGCCAGTCTCCAGACCTCAATCCTACAGAAAATCTATAGTGAGATCTAAAGCACCGACATTCCCCATCCAATCTGACACAGCTTAAGAAGTAATTGTCAGCAGACCACTGCAGCAAGCTCATGGAAGGCTACCCGAGGCATCTGCAGGCTGCAATTGATGCAGCAGAATCATCCACAAAGTATTAGCTGAAGACATTCCAAAGGGGGTGTAGACATTTGCAAAGACATTTTTCAAAAGAACTTTATTGCCAACTTTACACTAACTTTTTTTTTATCATGCCCAGAACTTTTGTCATGTCTTCATGTACATTTGTAAGCATCCTCTCACAATCAAGGATATATTTAAAGCTAGCAGTTTTCACACAGTTTGAACTGACCAAATAACCATAGCTTCATATTAAGTAACATTGACATATTATATATTGCCTTCGTAAGGAACTTTAGCCTTTGTGGAAAGCCACAATATGAGATTGGTCACTGATTGCCTTCTCCATAATGGCTTTATTGAGACACTACCTCTAGTTACCTGGTTATTGACTCATTAGAGTTCTTCTGCCCATTGAGAGATTTTATTTTTGTCCTAAGGTTGCTAATCACTTGCCTCACTCCTTACAGTGAGGGGCGGGGAAGCTTGTTTAGTCCCCCCCCACACACACACATTTCAGTCAGTTCTAAACATTTTTATTCATTTATTAATACTATGGCTATTGAGTTTAAAGTGTGTGTGTGTGTGTGTGGTGGGAAGGTGTATTCCAGTTACAAAATTTAAATCCATTAGGGAGTCTTCTTTGAAAACAAAATAATTCTATAAAATATATACACTGATAGACATGACATTCTTTCCTTAACAATTCTTGCCTTGATACAACAATGAAAACTCCTTCTCTTTTATTTTTTTTTCAACTTGTTCACACATCATTTAAAATGATCCAAGAGCTGACTTAAGAAGTCAATAAGACAAAAGCCAACCACTATCAAATCTCTTTATAGTATTTATTGTTCTCTTTTGACCACCATTAATGTGGGAAATGGCAAGGACCAGCTCTGCCAAACACCATAGTACTGATATGACATGCAGTTTATTACTTTATCTTTGTTTTAATAGAACAGACATGCTCCATTCTTATAATTGTTTTTGGTATGTGCTACAAAAAACTTTACAATATTTACTGTTGTGTATTCAATTAAAGAAATTAATATTTTGTTTGGTACCTTTTTATAATTAAAAAAAAAATTTTTTTTTTTACATTGTTTAGCCTATTGTTCTCATCACTTTTGTCATATTCATGACATTTTGAATGCTGGCATTCTTCAGGTGACTGGAATTTTGAACTGAACCCTTTATTTCATCCACCAGGGTAAACTGTTCTAGTTCCTCAAGGACACATGGCCCAGTGGTAATCCAGTGACTTGACCCAAAGAGTTGTGAGTTCAGTATCTGACCACAACAGAGGTGAACAAATAACTTAGAGAGTTGAGTTAAAGGGAAACAACTGAAATATCTGAAAAAGACATGGCACATAGAACTAGAACAATTTACCCAGGTGGATTCACCTGAAGAAGGCTGGCACATACAACAGCCAAAATGTCATGAATATAACAACGAAAATGAGGACAATAGTCTGAACAATGTAAGTACTGTAAATAATTACAATACCTCATCTCAGAAATATAGACAGAGGTTTTGTAAATATTCAGTTTGATGAATTTCCATATAGATGCTGATTTTCTAGGCAAACTGAATCAGACTTATCTTCCCCCAGAATCAGATTCATTAACCTTTTAAGAAATTCTTCAATTGTAACAATAAAAAAAAGGTGTGCAGTTTGGATAGAAGCAAAGCATGCTCCATATCACTGCTTAAGAACAGCTACTTCTTTGTTTTGTAATAAATTAATAAAAGAAAGTCAACAAAAGCCTGAATTAAAATTAAGGTAAAAGAATTGGTAAGTTTAAAAAAAAAATTTTTTTTTTTTTTTTTTGTAAATTAATACCTAATTCTATGTTTAAAGATGCTTGATTTTTTTTTTTTTTTTTTTTTTTTTTTGTTTCAGTTGCGAGAGGCACAGAGTCAAATTGAGGAGTTGCGTAACCACAACAGCCACCTTCAGAAGAGATTAGAGAAAATGAAACAGTCCCGCAGTGCTTTGGTCAAGTAGTAATTGGCCAACACTGGGAACACAAACAGACCAACATGGAGAGAACTTGCTAGAGATTGGCCTGGGGCTGGCTGGCTGCTCAGCAACACTTCTATCTAATTCGTCTTCTTCATCATCAGCAGCAGCATCACCACTGGTCACTCTGGCAGATATGCAAGCAGCCTGTCTAGCTGAGTTGGTTGGTTAGTAATCCCTGGGTGGGTGACCCCTACTTGCTAAACAGACTGCCGATATTTGTGTGTTTGCTTCTCACTACTGCCTCCAAATCCCAACAGCAATCTTTGAGGGAGACCTGCAGGCTGTTCCAACTTGTAAGGTCACTTCTGCCTTCCACAACAACATTTCAAACAGAGCACAGTTTGCTTCCTGAAGAGTCTGTATTTGGGAAATATGTGGTTGTAATTTGATAGTTTTTGTCAGACAAATTTGATTGCATTATTGGCCTCTTTTTTTTTTTTTTTTTGGTCATCATTTATTTGCTGTACTGTGCATGATGATTTCCAAGTTCAACTCCAACAATGAATTCAAAACTTCTCTCTAGTTGTCAACTGTAATGTTTATTTCTATACAGTTGCAGCTCAATGTTATAACAAAGGGCTGAATGCTAACAAGTTAAAAAAAAAAAAAAAAATTAAAAAAATTCATTTTTTAAGTGTTAGGTCCACAGAGAAAATTTGCTGCTTCATGCCAAGGGAGGGGAGGGGGGATTTGATGCTCTTACCTAGCAGTCATTCTAATAATACTTGTAAAATATGTCCAGTTTCTGGTATAAGAAAGTTTTGATTAAATTCTTGTAAATATCTAGAGTACTTCCTTGAAAAAGAACCCAGGAAATGTTTATGTACAGTTTAACAGCTGAAGATTACCAAATATGCAAAGGAAAAGAAAAAGGAAAAAAAAATAAGACTTTTTTTTTTTTTTTTTTTTTTTTAGGGCTCATTATAATTTATTTGTCCCTTTTTATAGCTGCTGTTGGCTGATTTTGTCTTTTTGGCAGCATTTTATTTTTAGGAAAGATATTCTCAAGGCCAGTTTGTTGCCATTGCAATATACCAAACTGAGCCTAAAAAGACAAATTGCAGCCCCCCCCCCCTTACTACCTTAAATATGTCATGATCAATCATCTCACCCTGGGAGTGGGGTTGAAATGAATGGGATTTGTCTCATTCATGTCAGACACCTCTTACCTTTGTCTCTCCAATTTCTCATCACTGCCCCCCCCAAACACCTTTACCTCTATCTTATTCACCCACAAAATTTAGTGATTTGACTTCAACATGACAATGTCATAATCATTGACATCAAATTGGTTTTAATTGCCTTTGGAAAAGACAAACACTAAATGGAGACAAACTATTAAATATGTGATTTGGTTTATATCTTCCTGGGGGCAGGGTGGATATTAATTACTGCAGAGAACTTGGTTTTTCCAGACCAACTGCCTAGGGTGGACAGTGGTCAGTTTTTGTTCTCTCTTCCTCGCTCTCTTTCCATCATGGATACTAAGGATTTTCTTTTGAAATGGAAACCCAATTTTAAAACATTTTGGATCTCAACTTTTTTTTAAACCCTTTGCATCTTTGTGTACTGTTTTGGTCTGATGTTGTTTCAGGTGTGTGATAACCCCCTCTCCTCTTCATCCCTCCCAGGTGTCTGGCATGTGGCAAGCCTGTTCTAGTTTCAAGGCAGGTACCTTTTAACCTTCCCCTTATAATAACCTTTATGGAAAAAAAATAATTTGTGGGAAGGAGGGGGCGGGGCTTAAGAAAATTAGATTGGACATGGAATGTTTTTAAATTAAAAAAAAATTTTTATATTGCCAAAAGTTAAACAAAAACAAAACTGTTCTGACATTGAGAGCAGCACACACATACACCCTCTTTCCACTGGAGGGGTGATTTCAACCTCCCCACTCCAAACTCTGTCTCTCTGTGGCTGACTGGTCACCCTCCTCCTCCTAGCTGACAGGGAGAGCCAGCTTTGTGTGATTGTCTTTTTTTGTATGTTGTTGAGCTGAGAGTGTTCTGTCAAGACAACACCAACTCCTGTGGCTTTGTATTATTTTTCATCTCAGTGACAAGAGTTATTATTCATAATAAAATTCAATTTCCACCCTGTATTCTGGTTTTTGGTTCTCATTTTTAGATTTCAGCTTCCAGTCAAACAAAAAAAAAAAAAATTAAAATCAACATTTCTTTTTTTTTTTTTAATTATTCAGTTTCCTCATTTATACCTCAATCAAGTATGTCTATTACTCCATCCCTGTCATAATTAAAAACTGGACATAATAAATCAGATGAACATGACTTTTCCTGATTCTTTCAATCACCTGCATGCACAAGAACCAATAAAATACTAGAAAGCCTTATAGCTACAAATAAATGAATGAAAAGCACAAGTGTTTGTTTTGTTTTTTTCCCCAGTTTTATTAGAAGAAAAAAAATCCAACAAGGAACAGAGAGGGTTGACAACAAATTTAGAGCTGCACTGTTCCTACATTTACACAAACACAACTGTGTAAGTGTACAATAAAGAGCAAACATTACTGAATGAACCACAAATTTCAGACAATCATATTGGGGAGGGAGGGGAGGTTATGAAATTGGATTAGCACTAGTTGCCATGACATTGCTGGGTGGGGAGATAAAATGATGTGAACTCAGGCAATGATACAGGTATTTAGAAGCACCAAGATGGTGTGTATCTTCATTCCCCCCCCCACCCCCACAAATATGCAGCAGGAGAAGATAGGACTCTGACCTAGCACAGCAAATATAAATACCACAACAGCTAGAATATACTGGCATGGGGTCAGGGGGCACCATGGCAAAAAGTAGCTCTCAATAGCAAAGACGCAGATTTTATTTTTGTTTGGGGGGAGGGGGTCCAAGTTTTGTGGAATGTAGGTATGCCTAATTTACACACTGACCCAATCACTATTTTTTCCCAACACAAATTCTACAGACCAATGGCTGCAACTGAAAGCCATTCTACAGTTTAGCCTGCAGAAACAGTGAAGTTTTTTTTTAGAGACATGTTAGGACAACAAATGCATGTTTTCCCCTGCGTCAAAGAAATCATCTAGTCGTCGCGTCTGGCTTTAAATACCACTACTATTTCACACAATGTCGAAGGAGGTGGCTGTAACGTTGATGTTCACCTTGTACAAGTACTGAGAATAAGCATTTATGCTGTACGTTTTCTTGTTCTTCCCTCCTCTTTGATCCCCTTCAATTCTTGCTTGGCTACAGGCAATCGATGATCCACATGCGGACATGGCATCTGCTGCATTCCTTTCCATTCTTTCAACTTCATTTTTTTCTTTTTCTTTCATACATTAAACCTTTTTTTCCCCCCCACCGTCTCTCTGTAAGGTCTTTTCTTTGGTTTTTGTACAAGACAAATGAGCAAAAGAAGTGGGACCAGTGTTCAGCCCTGAAGCACTGAAAGGATCAAAGCAGTCCGCAGCATTTTATTAAAAGGAGAAAAAAATATGTGTGTGTGTGTGTATATATATATATATATATATATATATATATATATATATATAAAACCACTCAGCTTGTGTCCGTCCGACAGTCTTGTTTGAAGGCTTGCAGGGAGCCCCTTGTGTCATAGTAGTAATAGTAGTTGTCAGTCATTTTGAAGCAGTAGCAATAATAGTAGTGGTACTAGTAGTCGGAGCACTAATAGTAGTAGTGATGAAAGTAGTAGTAGTAATTAGTTGTGGGTGTCGTGTTGGTATAGGAGGGAGTGTCAGTGGCACGGTCGTCATTGTAACAAGTCTGCCAGTGAGGTCATCTGCATCTTGTCTGGAAATAGAAGTAAGTTAACAAAATCGTTTAAGAGAGAAACGATTTAGATTCAAAAATTGGGGAGGGAACAAAATGGGAGAGCAGATAAACATGGATGAACTCTTCCTCACTTTTTTTTCTACAACAGAAAAGTCAGAGGGGAGGTTTATATTAATATTCTTTGTTCTAATAAAAAGATCAGTCATTAAACAAAGTAATGAAATGCAAAGAATTGCTCACTAAAAAAAAAAAAAAATTATTAAGGCTAACCCCTTCAGTTGCAATAGAATCTTGCAAGCCATGCTTATCTCATTCAGCATGGTATCTCATTAGAATAAAGATGAGGAACTGAACTTTTGACTATTTCTCACTTTAATACTAGTTAAAAATTATTGATAAGCAGTAACTATTGGGATTTATGGGTAATTTGCCAGACATCTTGATATTACTCAGTTTTGTTTTTTTTTAACCTGGAGTTGAATATCCTCTTTAATAATGGGAAATCAGGAAAAACTTGCCAAACCTGCAAATTACCTCCCTTGAAGCAAGAGGTTAACTGTACAATGAGAAAGAGTCTCATCATAAATAGCAAAATATTTGACATTTCCAGGTCCAACTGCAATATTCAAATTAATAGCATTGAAAGAGACTTTTTAAAAAATACCTCGTCTTCACAGCGTTCTTTGAGAACAAGGGAAGATGACTCTAAAAATATCACAAACCCCCAACAATGTTCTATTTAATACTGGAAAACTCTGGTAAAAACCACACCTCAATGCATAATAATGTTTACTTTGCATAGCTGATACTTTTGTCTTTTTACAAAATAATAAAAAAGTACTAATACCTTATCTATCTCCATTTTGAAAGTCATTTAGTAGACTCATGACCCAGTGAACCAATATTATGAAGTGGTAGAGTAGGGGAAACTTTCCAACCTGAGCATCGGGGTGGGGAGTGATCCCTGGACTCAATTGTAGAATAAAACTGAATTTGAGAGGGAAAAGTAAAAGTTAAAATACCTGATTGCTCAACTTAGAGCCTTTGTTTCTTGGAGGGTCCATCATCATCACTGCCTGGTGGTGGCCCTTTGGGAGATTCAGCCTCTAACACCTTCAGCCGCTGTCCACCAATACTTTGACCATGGAGGGTGTGCATGGCTCTCAAGGCCGGCTCTTTGGAAGCAAACTTAGCATAGCCATAATTGCGACCTGGGAAACAATGAAAAATTTTAAAGTTTCATAAGTGTGACAATTGTTAAACAAAAATTGAAAACCATCCATTGTAATATTTCAATATTTATAATCGACTGTGCAGAATACATGGTGCAATAGACAAATTGTCTAAATTACACAAAAATATCTTGAAATACTAAAGAGTAAATTTATTCAATAAAACCACCATTGGCTTCTATTATGACCTCCAGACAACTTCAGAATCTTCTGCAACTCTTCGAGATGGTCTCCTTGTTCAAGTTGGTGAATAATGCCTTCAGTTCATCTTTGGTGTTACAAGGTGTGTTGTTGGTCTTTTGCTCAACTGTGTCCCACACATAATAATCAAGGGGATTGCAGTCTGGGGAGTTAGGTGGCCAGATAATTGTCTGATAGCCAGAACTGGGTTCTCCTCCTTGTAAGGCATGGTGCCAAGTCCTGTTACCAGACAGAGTCTTCCAGCAGCCACCCTTCTGACCCAGGGCAGCACTACCACCTCACGGCACTTGATGTAGGTCTCCATTTTGAGTGAGCCCTGACCAACAAATTTGGGAGTTCTTTTCTTATCAGAACAATCAGAGTGAATTTTCCGGGCTGGCATACATTCATAATCACCATTAGACTCATCCAACTCTTTTGGAATTCTCTGCACCGTCCTCAGATAGAAACCCAAACACTCTGAAAGGCCATATTGGAACTTCCAGTGCAAATGCTAAGCAGTACAGCATGCCATTTCCAGATTTCTGGCAGAGTCAATTGCATCACGAACTTTTTTTTTCACAGATGGTTCCCAACTATATTAAAAATATAAAATGGTGAAAATTTACTCATCACACCCTGTATGTAGTAGAGAAATATTGTCACATAGGCTTCTTAATGTATGGCCAATGAGAAAAAGACATTTATTGTACATTATTTGGCCATTGGACAAAATAGAAGCACAAGGAAAATGTTAAAACTCAGAATTTTCAGAACATGACCATGTCTACTCTTAACAAAAAAGTTAAAATGAAGTTTGATTGAGGGGGTGCACACATGTTGATTTCTTTATATGTGCATACATATATACAAGAATTAATAAATGTTGACAGTCTATGAAGACCCATTCAAATATGCTTTATACCAGTATGTTGTTTGACAGCATCCAAAGTATACAAAAAAAAAAAAAAAAAAAAAAAAAAAAACATTCACATGTAAAGATCAACTTAGAAAGGTATTGTGAAATGCTGCATGCACTCAATTCTGCAAAATATAACCGGAAGGGAGAAATTGCCTTTTTCTTTGCATTATGGAATTGGTTTATGAGGCAGCAGTTCAGTTGTTGCACAATACAACCTTGATTTGACACTAACAGGCAGACATCTAGTTGTTGAAAGGTCAACATTTTTCATCCAATATTGAAATTGCTGCACGCAATTGAAACTAAACCAAACAAGGCAGTATAGAAAACCCATGCTAACATATCAGTCAGCATAGTAAAGTAAGGATCATAACTCCCTAAGTCCTGCCATAAACTAAAGAAAAAGAAGTGTGTGTGTGTGGGGGGGGGGGGTAACGTTACATGAAATTGTTACACACAGACCACTCTGATCATCTACAGAAGTACTTATCCATTGTTAAATAATCCCATAATTTTTAGCAAGATACCAGGCTAATGTTGCTATTTAGGCATTTACTATAGACCTGTTCTTCCTCAATAACTGCCACTAGTCAAACATATTCACTACCCGCCCAATAGATAAATCCCTGCCCATCTAAAATTTAAAAATCCTTACCAGAAAGCAAATAAACATCAATGAGATCTCCAAATCGACAGAAACAATCACGCAGAATGATCTCTGGTACAGCAGATGGTTGACACACAATGAAGAGGCGCTGACTGACAGGTGTATCCTCTGATCGTAGTGGCTGCGTTCTGGGCAGACTGATATTGGAATAACGCACACGTTCCAACAATTGTTCTTTTGCTAAAATACGTTCTGGGTTGATGCCAGCTTTCTCTAAGACCATAGCTGCCTGCAAGAGAAAGAAGAAAATCAATCAAGCTGAGGAGATATTCAAAAGTGAAAATAAATTTGAAGTTAACACAAGATCCCCTATCAACCAGTGATTAAATTGTAAAATGTTTACTAGGAATGGAAAATGGCGTTACATACAGAAAGTAGTATGTGCCCTTGTAAGGTGAAAAAAAAAAAAAAAAAAAAATTCCTCAAGTCATTGCAATTGCTGTTTTCACTGAGCAAACCTTGAATTTTATCCTGTCATAATTAACAGTAGTACTCTCAATGAGGCTGCTTACTCTGAACATCTATTGAGACTCAAGTTCAGTCCAAAACTCAAATGTACAGTCCATTGCTAAAAATGCTAGAAAAATGGTTGGTTCTTTGTACAGCTCCAGAAAGGATCTGAATCTGCCTGCTATGCTCCATCTTTACAAGAGTCACCAAAGACCAAAAATGGAATATTGCTGTCATATCTGGTCCAGAGCTGTGCAATCATCACTTTTCAGTTTTGAAAGAGTTCAAATGTATCTATACAGCCTTTTGGGTGATGAATTATTTTCTACCTTACAGCCCCTTTCCTCACAGACAAAATGACAAAAGCCTCTTGCTATGTTCTGACAAGCTACATTCTTTACTTCCACTAGTTATGACCTTTACAGTAAGAACCTGGCATGCCACATACACAGGGTTGAAGCATCTTCATGCCACTTGTATTCCATTGAACATTTGGAAAGATTCTTCTGAAGTATTGCTACTTTGTGGAACAGTAACCTGAAAGGAGGTTCCCCTGGTTGCTACAATCTTAATCTCTTCAAATTTAGGGTTAACTACATACAGAGCCTCATCCAGTAGCCATCTACCTTTAGTGGTGCTTAATTTGTGTCTTGGGTGAACAATAGTATTGGAGATTGGGGGGGGCGGGAGGGATAGAGTGAATTTAAATCCCGATGTTCAGTCCAGAAATTGTCAAAGATATTGGATCTTGAGGGAGTAACAAAAAAGTAAAAGAAAAAAAAATTATAATAATAATAAGTAGTAGTAGCATCATCATCCTTTGATTAGTTTTTTTCAGCAGTATATCAACCTCTATAGGTTATTTAATGCTTAAATCTGAATATTTTGTATGCAATTGTATACCTTCAACTATAAATATTTTGTACATAAATTTATATATTCAGGGCAAACATGTTTTATAAATATATAGTTTGTAGCTGATCTATTGTCAGTGTTATATATTTCTTCAGTATTTCCAATACCATTTGTAAAGGGAAGATTATGACCTGAACTTAACACTATTTTAAAATTTATTATAGACTAGGTTAGGGTCAATTTTACAAACTATCAAGCCCCTGTTGGGTTATCTAGTGTCTTAAAAGACTGATTTTACACTATCGTAAGAAAAAAAAAAAAGTAGACATAGGTCTGGTTTATACCGAGTGGGATATTTTGGGATATGTTACCCCCTTTTTTAGGGGAGATACTGTTAGCATATCAGTATGGCAAATTACAAAGCAGTTCCTTTAAGCTGAAATGCTTAAATAACTATTTCATATAATTAAAACTTGTAGACTTGAAGCATTTTTATTAGGTGATATTTGATCTCTCAATAGCTTGAACAGTAAAAGATGGCCTTACCTGGCACAGAGTAGTATGAAGGGGGTTTCATATTAAGGAGGACCAGCATTTAAGAAGTGAATGTTAGCAGTACAAGGCTCATATTCTGGAATTGTGTTAGAATGAGTCTTTTTAGGTGTTTAATATCCTGTAATATTGTTGTCATACAGTTAACTTTCCTGCTAGAATTATATTGGTGGTCCCAATACTAACAAACTTTTTGAAAACAGTTGTACATAATTGTTTCCCCGACAAAAACTGTCCATACAGTAGTAATTAGTACTTAGGAGTTTGTAGCATCATGGTGTCTGCTGTATGAATTAATAGTTTAATTATATAAAGAAAAGAGAAAAGGACAATGTATTTAAAGTTCATTTTCAAAGAGGATCAGATAAAAAGCATACAATCTTGAAAATTTAAAATCAAATTAAACCCCACTTTTTATTTTGTGGCATCCCCTGTTTTTTCCCTATCTAGTCTACAAGCACATGGTTTAAGTTTATGGGGAGTTATCTGGCTTCCTTGAAAAATGATTGTTTTTATTTAGCAGTATATCAACCGCTTTATTATTATTATTTATTTGGGTTATTTAATGCTGACATCTAAATATTTTGTATGCCATTTTATACCTTCAACTACAGATATTTTGTACATAATTTTATACTACAGGGTAAACGTATATTTTTTTTTTTTAGGTATATAGTTTGTAGAATGTATGAGTGGCAATTTAAAAAATGTATTGTTGGCAATTTCATTACAAAAATGTATTGTTAGAATTTTTTAGTGTTGTAGAGTTGTTTTGCTACAGAAATGTATTATTGGTAATTTTACTATCAAAATATACTGTAGATTTTTGTTTTGGGGTTAACTATTTGCCCATAGTTGGAACACAAGAGGTACTACCACCCCAGATCAAGGTGGACCTGGGAACAACAGCAATTAAGAAACAGCCTGCTTCCTTTACAAATGCTGATAATTTTTCCATTCAAGATAACCAAGAAAATTATTTTTTATAGTTCTACAATTATTTAGGAATAAAAAAAGAAAAAAAAGTGGGATTAAAATTTTAGGTTCAAGTCGGAAAGATTGAAATGACAAAAGAATAATTTTAATAAATAATTGCTAAAATACATTGGTAAGATTAGCTAAACCGATAATTTCCAGGATTATGAAAAACCATCTAATCTTGCCAAAGTTGGTTTTGGTTGAACAGAAAAATTAACATCAAGATATCCATTTCAAAAGTGGAATGAACTAAATACCCTAAAAATACAAGACTAGTTTGCCAAAAGCTATTTCCTTTATCTACAGCTTAAAAAAAAAAAAAAAAAAAAAAAAAAAAGAGAGAGAGAGAGCAAAACACATCAGGTCACAAGTTCCATCTTAATCACTGCTGAAAATGTTGAGATAACCAGGGAAGTATATCAAGATTATATATATAAACTGCATCAAATGGGTTATCATAGGATTTTATGTCAGACTTATTTCTAACTCCCCGAGGAGGAAAAAATAAATAAATAAATAAAGAGCTTATCTGGATTCCAGTCCAGTCACAAAGTCAATCTCAGAATCCAAAATCACCAATAACAAGATCACATTTCATAATTTGTTATTGATACAGTTTTCTCTACCATTCAAGGAGAAAAAAATTATTCTGAACTGTAGATAATTGTGAAGTAAATTACTCTCTACTGAAAACCAAGAATTAAAAGGACCTCACCTTTTTGTAAGTATCCTTTGGTGTGGAGGTCCACATTGGAAAAGGACCCACTGAGCTCTCCATAAAACTGACAAAGAAAACAAAATAGTTCAATTTTTTAAGGATTGGGTACAGAGAACAGAGGAAGAAGAAAATGTTGCTTATTTTTCTTAACATTGTCCATTTTCCCAAGAATAACCAAAGACTTAATAGTTGAAAAAATATAAATAAAACGTAATCCATGAGTTTTTTTACCTGTCTCCAAAACCCAGGTTCATGTCAACTGGGGCTGCCTGGTCAGCAAAACGTACATGGATCCGACTCCCAATAGGATATTCAAATCCATCCAACTTATCACGTGCATACGCAGCCGCTTGGGGAGTGCAGTATCTGGCATATGCAATCCCTAAAAGCAAAACAAAAACCAACAACAACCCTTTGATTGACAAAAGAGGCAACTGAAAGAACGTAACAGGACTGCATATTTCACTGTTCTAAAACAAGGTTTGCACAATTCAAAGGATGTGTTTCTCCTCTTTTATTTCTGGGGCTTAGGCACTGGGTAGTTTTGCCAAAAGGTATAAATTGGTTCGTGAAAGAGTAACGAACTCGGCCAAACCATCATCATACCTGAAAAATTAATTTTGTTTTTCTAAATAAATTCTGTTTCTAAATCACAAAGGGCAATAACGGAAAGTGATATTGGTTGAAAAGGAGGTAAAGAAATGGAAGAAACTTCAGGAAAAAAAAAAAAAAAAAGAAGAAAAAAGAAAATCACAAAAGAAGCAAACAGCCAATACAGTTCAAATCAAATCTAAAAAAAGTTTAAAATGTTCAAAGTTTTATTGGTATTTTGGGCAACAACTGGAAGTCTAGCAAGTGACATCTGGCCCTGGTATCTTTCACCTCTCCAGTTTCTGTTTGTGGAAGTATGAAAGTGGGTGATCAATATTTCCTTAAATCTGACCAAACATTAGAATTGTTTTTGGAAGGGCTTCTTGGTCAGATTAAAATGTTTTTCAGCACTCTCTAAGAAAGAGCTAGTCTTAATGTTAGTCCCCATAAAAGTTTGGGTTCAAATAAATCAATTCTGAATGTAGACTACTTCAATTGTATAACAATTTACAAATGGTTACCCATGTAATACTACACAAATTGACATGTTGCTTAACTTGAGAGTAAACAAAATACAGTGCTATTCATTGGCATTAAATGCACTTCAGATTTGTTTGAAATTTTAAAAAAAATCATTGTAATGTTATCTCTCTTAAACATGGGATTGTAAACATGTGTAACCCTTGCCCAGTTTGCCACCATCAACCCCACTGCACATTCACAAGGTAACAAAAAGTAAACTTGAACCCAGTTTTCAATATAAAATAGGTGTGTTATTCAGGGTTGCACTTGCTTGGTCTGGATGGGCAGGTAAGTGACATTTGGAGACAATTTATGACATATCAGTCTAACAATTCTGGTTTCCTCTCCTACCAACTTCCTATCTACACACCTCTATATGGCTGGTAGTACAAAGTAGCATCAGAACAATGTGAAGAACAGTTTGTTCCCACCCACCACAGAGAGACCAGAACTGAGTTCCTTGATCCTAACGGTAACTGTTAACATAGACCAGCAAACAGATAATTAGCCAGGTCTTGTTATCACCTGGTCTCAAAAGCCTCTATCTACTCACTTGTCTATTCCCCTTCAGTCAAAGTGGATGCCGCTTAAAAGGCTTCAAAGAACCCATCCACCGGCTATAAAGCAGAAACAATTGATCAAGATAAAAGTCACACTTTTCTCTTCCACGTGGGTGTCCCAATTATAGTGTCACAGGACAAATGCCACATGTTTCAATCACATTCTGCCACATCACCTAAAATCATACAAAATATTGAAAAGAGAATTTAACATTCTCCTATTTGCAAATTTCTTTTAGGAACATTAAATTACAATTAATAACAATTTAGCAGCAGCAACATAAAAACAATTAACTTCTTACCAGTGGTTTCATTGAGGTCACAGTATTCAAGACCTGGAATGAGAGAGAGCAACCGGGTGAGGTAAGACTGATTGAGTCCAAGCCCAACAGTCAAATGCAAACGTTGGCATCCATTGTTGGCATAATTTTGTATTGGTTCAAGAGCACCCATGCCAGCACCTGAACCAGCACCTCCAACTCCCATGCCTCCACTTACACCAAGACCAGCACCACCTGAAAAAAGAAATGAACACATTAAATTCCCATTCTATTTCCAACATGAAGTTTCTAAAAAACAATCTTCAGTTTCCAATTAAAGAAAAAAAAAATTACAGAGTTGAAAATCAGTTCTTTTACTATTGAAACTTTTGTACACACCTAAATCAAAAAAATTGCCAAGCAGCTTTATGCTTTCAGACAATTTCTGATTTATATTACTTTGCCTGTCAGAAAGTGTATGTTTCTTCTATGTGCTGTGTCCCTTCAGAGTGTGGGTGATCATAGTTAACCACAACTTCCAATTATTTGTAGCTTTTAGCAATGTTTATCTTTTTACTCCTACCACCCATTCCCTGTTCTATCACTCATTTACACAAACTCTTTAGGTAAGTTATTCATTGTTTACTCCCATCTCTCTTGCCTTCATAATGTCCTGTGAGTGTCAAATTTTCTAAACCTTTTTTCATGATGTACCCTAGAAAATTAAACTCTTTTTGATTCTAAATCTTTTTTTTTTTTTTCTATTTTCTTTAAAACTTACTTGCTTATAGGCTCCACCCATTGTATTCTCAGTTTTTTCCCATAAAACATCTCTTGCCTCAAGTTTCTTCATCTCTGAGGCAATTGTTCAGTACGCACGGGATTGATTGTACAAAGCAGTTCAGCAATATATTAAAAAATTTAAGAAACAGGAAAATACCATTAGAAATAAAGAAAATCTTTACTTCTAATTGTATTTTCCCCATTTTGCTTTTGGAAGTCATCTTGCTATTCCAATATGCTTTTTGATTTCTGTATCACATTATTAAGTTTAAAGGCATATCAACCTTTGTCAAGTCCTTTCATGCCATATAAGATTTGATTGGGCATTAGGGTTTGTACATTAAATTCAATTTGTGAATACTTTAGTATCATCTAGTTGAAAATAGCCTTTGTAAAAAAGTTCATTTAAAGTTAATGATAATTAATGTGATCCTCTTGACTAGTATTTGTTTCTATGTTTGCATTTAGAATGACGAGGCAGGGTTTTTTGTATTTGTTCCAGTCAGCTTTGTGTAGATTCCATCCTAGTGCTTTGTCTTCAAAATTAAAAGATACTTGTTCTAATATAACCGGAAAATGGTCGCTGCCACAAGTATCCTGGTAAATTTGCCAGTTGTATTCCAGTGCCAGGGATGGGTCAGAGTGTGAGATCTATCACTGAGAATATACCTGTTGCTGGATGAAGATATGAATGGGATCTATTGTTGTACAAGTATAGATGATTTGTATCAATGAACTTTCCTCTTTGGTTGCTTCATAGGTGGCTATGGCTATTCAAGTCTTCCATGAAGATAAAGGGTCTTGGGATCGGTTGTACTAGCTTGTTTAGTTCTATTTCTGATATTTTGTCATTTGGAGGAATGTATAGGAAGCATAGAATAATTATTCTGTGTCATGTGACTGTTATTGCTGTTTGTAAATTGGTATGAATTTGGATTTATTTATGGGTTATATTATTGTTTACAAGTATGCATATACCACCGGAAGCTCTGTTATTTTGGCTGAAATGCATGTTTTACATGGAGTAATTCTTAATATTCATCTGGTTGTGTTCTTAATGAAAGTTTTTTTTTGTTGTAAAAATATAGTTAGGGCTAAGGTCGGAATTAGTATGAGTAGGTTATTAAAATTTACTTCTATACCTCTAATGTTCCATTGTAATATATTTTTGGTTATTGTACTAAGTTTATTGATCTTAGTAGATCAATGAATCAATTACTTTTGTTTCTGGGATGTCATTATAATTCCAGGTTCTTTTGGTTAGGGTGAATCATTAGTTGAATGGTTTTCTTCTATTTCCATTTTGTTGAGGTTTTCAGATTGACTTTTTGAATCTATGGTACCATTTTTACATTTTTTTGGTTTGGAAGTAGATCACTGGTTTTGTTTTGATGATTCTGGTTTCTTTAAGATTTTTTCTTTTTTTTTTTTTTTAAAATGGGGTCTTTATCTGTAAGGGTTATTCCGTAGAAGGTGATGACGATGATGGTTGGGTTATAGACTTGTAAGGTAACTGCATGAGGCTCTTTTCTTCCCATTTCTGGGTGATTTTTGTAATGCTCTCTAGTCAGCGAGTTGTTAAGATTGGGCTGTTTTTGTATTTCCAGTGGTGAATTCTAGTTTTGGTTCAATTTCTTCTATAAACCTTGGCCAGTCTTTTGGCCCCAGTTATAGTAGTTTCTGAATGAGATCCTTGTATTTCTGTTCCTGCTTTTATGTCATTTGCGATTGTTTATACTACTTGAATGAAGGTCTTTTTTCTTTTTTTGACATCCATAATTTTTCATGCTTCCAAGAAGGAAATGTACTTGATGTATTTTAGAATTAATATTTTTTTTTTTTTTTCTCAATTTTTCACAAACTGTTGCATACACTGGACGATTTCCACATTTTGCACATTTACATATTTCCTAGCATTGGTCTGTGGTGTGATCAGGCTCTTTCTCTCCACGTCTACATATGCCCATTAAATTTTTCTTCATTATGACCAGATCTTTGGCATTTAAAGCAGCGGCAGATGGTTTGGTATGAACTGTTCCACTCTTTCTACATTGTAACTGATTTTTATTTTTCCAGGTATTCACATTCACCTTGACAAGACAAGGATACAGGGGTGCTATACTCAAATTTGTTAGTAGTCACAAGCACCAGTGTTCTTTTGATTTCGCCATTCAAACATAGGGAAAAGTCCAAGGTCACACAGCCATGTTGCCACCATAATCTTCCAATTCAATTGACCCTTGCCACCACCTTCTAGCCTTTAAATTAAAAATATTCTGAATAAACTCTTATCCACATATCTTTTATATCATTTCTCCAGCTGAATAGTAATAAAATGCAGCAAAAAGGAGGTTCACGTAAGTATATTTTTACTCGAGAGAGAGAGACAGACAGAGAGACACAAGAGAAAAATAACACAAAAAGGCTCCCTCCATTGTGGGATGGGAGAGATAAAAAAAAGAAAAAAGTTGCTAGTGAATTTCTGATTTAAGCATTAAAGATTTGTCACAACTAAAACAAAATTTAGTTTTAACATTTAACCAAGGCACATATGACTTATTTAAATGAAAAAGAAATTAACTTAATTTTTCAAGGTTTAAGTAAAAATATTTTTCAAAATGAGTCAGATAAGAAATTTTTAAATATCAAATAAAATAATTTTAAATTTGCTACTTGCTGATACCAAAATGTACTAAAAAGAAACTTGTAAAAAAAACCCAAAAAAAACCATAACACCACACACTGTTTTAGTTTTTGATATCAAAATCAAGTATTCCTTGATTACCTCACCAAAATAAAATAAAAAAAATCCTATATTTTCATATCACACACATAAATGGCCTTTTTATATATATATATATATATATATATATATATATATATATATATATATATTTTTTTTTTTTTTGATAATTCCAGATACCTGGATCTGGAGTTTTTATAAACCTTTTCTATCAGGTCTTAGCAACAAAATGAACACATCATATAAGAAAAAAATTTAACAAGAAACAATAGTACTAGTCTCTGCCTAACAGTTCCTTCTTCAGCTAAAAGCACAACATAGAAAATATTTGGAGCTGCATATCTCAAATAACCTGGGTATAAATACCCCAAGCAACAAATGGTATCATAATAAAAATATGAATTTCATTTAACTAAAATATGGAATGTTAATTATTGGGTCCCCCACTTTAATGACCTTGCACCAGTGTAAAAAAAGAATTATTTTATTTATATATATATATATATATATATATATATAAAAATCCTATTTGGACAACAATCCTTCTTTTATACAAGTTTCATTGATAAAACAAAGAAAATTTTACAAGTTTTATTCCTATAGTTTTTTTCTGATGAAGGCCAGGAGTGTCCATAGTGATTATTTTCTCACAAGCACTTTTGGCTAATTTATTAACCATTTTCAAGGGGTTTACTGTTAATACATTTTTGTATTTGTATTCTAAACTGTGTTGTATAGTAATAGTAGTAATTCTATGTTAGAGTGTCTTCAAAACACACAACACTTTTTTTTTAACTACTGTGGGCTTAAACTGCTTTATACTTCAGATGCCTTCTTCATTATCTATGAACTGTCTTGAATGACTATACAATTCACTGCCAGGCTAAGACAGACATTATGGAAATATTATGTTTTTTCTCAACTTATATAATTATGACCCAGTTTAAGTAATACATTAGGCACAATAAGAAATTAACAACAATTATTAATAGAACAATTATATCAATAAACTGTAGGACAAGTTATATTATGGATTTCTTCTTACTCTTAGCAATATTATCATACAATTTTGTCTTGCCCAAGTAAACTGGAAACTTGCCAGCTAAATGAATCACTTCATAGGATTTTAAAAATGTGCTGATTAAACCTTATCAGTAGAAAATATAGATTCCACCATCTTGTGAAAATGAACTTGCACCATTTTCAATAGAAGATAATTTGTCACAGGACCTGTCAAATGTGTAAATGTGTCATCATACTGGCAAAATATATCACAAACAGCCAAAACATTTATCAGACATCTTCAATGAAAAGATAAATAAATATTTTCAGTCACTCACAATTCTTTTTTTTCTTCTTTTCACACGTTCAGTATAGATTTTTGTTTTCATAATTTTAAATATGCATCAAGGAGCGAATGTGATAATGTTTCCGCATGCATGGAAAACCCATTCTTACCCTGGTAAGGAGGCATAGCATCAGGCCCTGGAGGTCCATAGCCACCGCCACCACCACCACCATACATGTCCTGGCCACGGAAGCCAAAGTCATCTCTTCCGCCCATCTCATTAAAGCCACGTTTTACACCTAATTAAAACAATTAAAAATAAAGGTAAATTCCTTACACACAAACAAGTGCATCCAAAATCCATCTTGAGTATTTAAAAAAAAAAAAAAAAAAAAAAAAAAAGTCTTACATAAATTTGACAAAAGTAACTGGCATTTAAGCAATAAAAATTAAATTATGTGAAAAATGCCAATACTACACTGTACCCAATAAGTTTGTATTGTAGCTATTGGGGTAGGGGGAGTATTATCTACTGAAACTATAAATTGAACAGTTCAGAAACTAATAGCAAAAGTGGTAATGTTTGATTAACAAATAAGTTGGATTGATTTTAATATTTGATCATCATCAAGCTTTTTATATTGGATGATATGAATCAGCATTAAGAAAAATTAACTATTGACAGAAATCACAATTTTTTTTAAACTTCACCTTTTGTTTTAAAATTGTCTGATGAACAAAGTTATCAAAAATGCAGAAATTAAATTTTTGTGAAAATATTAAAGCTGGTATCTAAATTACAGAATGCAGATGAAAAGTGCTAGTAAAATCTTCAATGTTGCATTGCTTGGTCACTTATGAGCAAGAGAGACTATAATACAAACAAGGCAAGATCTCTACCTTTGACTATTGGTCTTACTATTTTCCACCTCCAATCAAATCTCAATTAATGTCTATCTACCTGCAATATTTGAAGGAAATTTTCATACCCCATCCCAATTTATATCACATTTTATAGCTTTAAATATAAAAGTCAATGCTGTCTCTTCTGTCCATTTCATTAAAGCCTCATTTAACACTTTTAGTAATATCTTGAATTTTTATTAAAAGGAAGCATTATCAGCCATTATTAATTTTTGACTAATATTTCTTTCATCCTCATTTTAATTGCTTTACTTTTAGTAATATTATCTTGTCTAGAATTTCTTTCATCTAATTTTATTTTTTTTTATGTATAAATAGTGCAACCATCTTTGCTTGAATGTGTTGCATGAATTTATGGTATCTGCAGGTAAGCTTTCATGGAGTTCCTCAAAGACAGGAATTGGTTGGCATTTCATATCACAAGCTTATATGGCTCAGGCATTTCAGATATTTCAAACAATAAATAAATATTTTACCCCCACCAACTGACCAAGTATTTGTCAACAACCCAGAGATAAATCTATCAATCATCTCACTGCACCCACTTACCTCGATCCATAAAATCGTAATAGTCACAACCACCACCTCCTCCACCACCACCGCCGCCTCCTCCTCCACCACCTACACCAACACCTCCACCTCCATTATGGTCATATTCTCGTTCATGCCGGGGAATCTTAGGCTCAGCAAATTTGGGTTTAAAAACTGAAATGTACCAAAACACAAGAGACTTAATTTATTATATAAATTTCTTTGATCAATATACACATTTAAATTAAATTTCAGTTAGTAACCTTCTTTATATAGGAACTCATTATTCATGCTATTGCACTCATCTTAGATGATTTTTGGCAACAAGCAGCAGATGATTCATGAAATAATGACAAATTTTTAATAATTGAAAAGAAATTAAATATTCCATCACCAGAAGTGGATCAATGGATTTGTTGCTGATGGAGTATCCACAAAAATGGATTCTGATCAATTTCCCCATAATATAATAATAATAAAAAAAAAAACACACACACACACACACACAGTGACATACATAGATTCCAACCCATTTTAATAACACGATTTTAAGGAAATTTAATAAATGGCACAAATTTCATTATCTCTTTCAACTGACATCTGGATCAAGGACAATGATTGGTTCAAGACATGCATACAAAGTCCTCCATAACAATGCCAGGAAGAGAAATCAGACATCTGTCATTGGTGCAATTTATAAGTGATTTCAAAGCTCACATGGCTAAACTTAAGTGTTAAAAGAAAAATAAATAAGTAAATAAAATCAAAGCTGAATACGTGACACAAAAAAAGATTTTATGATCAGAAATTCAACAATTTTATAATATAGAAACAACAAATGAATCATAAATCTCATCAAATTGAGAATTTTTCAAATCAAAGTTAAAAAAAAAAAAAAGAAAAGCACATAAAGCATGTACAGATTATCATTTTAAAACTTTGTGATATTTTCAAATGAAATCTCCATTTCAATACAAGTATCTAATACTTCTTTTTCTAAACTTTATCATGACAATTGTCATCTGAATGACTAAGCCAATAATGTGATAACAGGGTCAAATCTTATGTATGGTTTAGCATTATCTAAACATCCAGTTTTCATGGTCAATAAAGTTAAAACTTAAAAAACAGTCTAGTCTGACAAAAGACAGATCTGCAAGATGAACTCATGAACTATCACTCTAGAGCAGGCACCATGAATTTTCATACTTGAAATAGATTTAGTTTGATAACTTTCTATTCCAATACTTTAAAATATCTGATGTAAAAAAACTGATATTTTTAAGGCTTCACTTTTTTTTTCATTTGTGAACATTTCAGTTTTCTCAATAAGTACTAAAAATTTTTTAGTTAACCTATAATGTCATGAATATGATTTCTTAAATACATTGAAACTGTCACTCACTTTATGCCAGCTGGTAATGTCTGCAGAATAGTGTGGGATATTTTCCATGCAAGTTTTTTTATAAAGACCATTAGAAAATTTGGTGAGATATTGAAAGGCATGATTTATACAGATCTTGAAGCTAAATCACATCTGTTCATGCTATCCTGATTTCCAATTGGTAATGGTTTATTCCCACCAGATAATTAAAACCATTACCCATCCTGCACAACTGGAATCAAACTGATTCTAGAAACACTTGGGTGAATTCCAGCTACTCCATTGGGTGACACACAACAGGTTTTAAAAAAATGTTGAGCATGTAGAAGGCATATTGTTGGCCTTAATAACTCCTATACAACCACCAAATAGTTATAGATAGCTTTTGAACATAAAATGAGTCCAGGACCTCAAATTCCATGCCACAGACAGTATTATTTTAGCAAAAAGGAGGAGTTACACAGTACTAAGTAACTGTGTATTTATCATAAAAAAAGGTTTAAAATCTGTTTGAAGTTAATGAGTCTAAGAAATTAACAAAAAGTGAAACAATGTGAAAGTAACTGTTTAGGGTTTAGCCCAACTTATCTGCAATCTGGATTGGTTGGGACAAAACAGCACAAATGTATAAAAAAAATAATCCCGCAAAAGATAAGTACAGACAAAAGTTTGTTTGAATTTACCTGCATCACAGGATTCATATGCAAGAGCTGCATGATACGGCCGATGATATTTGACATAACCAAAACCTTTGGTCTCTCCTGATTTACGATCCTTCAGAAGTGTCACAGACTCAATGTCACCAAATTTCTTAAAATGAAATCAAATATATGTCAGAAATTGTTTTTTTTTTTTTTTAAAGAAAAATATCTAAAAAGAGGATTTTATGTTATACATTCTATTATTAAATTTAACATACCTAATTAGATTTTAAAATTGTAATATTATAAGGGAAAAAAAGGCATCAATAAAATACGGCTGTAAAGAAACAAAAGTACAAATTAAAATGAAGGAACAGATTGCCCTAAATGAGAAGCAAGACATTTTGTACTCAAAAAGATTTGTTCTGAATACATGCAATTTAAAAGAACCAAAGAATACATTCGCTGCAGAAGATGACAGGAAAAAATATGAGGAATTTAAGTTTAAAATTTGACAACTATGTCATAAAACAATCTTGGATAGGAAGTAAAATATTTTTCAATTTAGATCCAATTCAAAAGAAATAATCAATCTCCTCCCAGTAAATCATCAATTTAATAATATTGTGTAGGCAAAAGTAAAATATCATTTACAAAGACCACAGCCAACTATAAAAATCATTTTTTATTTATTAGTTTTATAGTTAAATTTTTCCAACATGTACTTGATACTTGGGTATTGTTAGAAACATAGACATTACAACACAAACACATGAATGCATCAGGAAATAAACTCATATATGTATGTAAGAAAAAAGAAAAAATGTATCTGCTTTTAACTTTTATATAAATTAATGTTATAATCTAAATACTAATTAAACAGAGTTCAAAGCAGAAACATAGTCTTGGAAGGCCCAAAAGTTGCATCAAAATTCATGTTCATGAAAAGGGTCTTTTAGATTTCAAGGTGACTTACTTCAAATTCTTTTCGAACATCATCCTCTGAATATGTCTTTGGTACAATGACAAAGAGACGAACCAGCCTTTCTTCTTCACGGGGATCACGTACAGAACCATCTCTCTTTGAACTAGCCACTAAAACCTGAAACAAGCAACCAGTAAGAATAGCTGACATATTAAATGCAAATAAAATCAACATTAAAAATAAAGTTTATAATCCCTAACATATAGCCAGAGACACAGAGATATTTATCTATTCAAATAAGGAATATAATTTTTTTTCTTTTTAAAAACATTGACATTCAAAGAGTCAAATAAAAAAAGAAAAAAAATAAACTATTCATGCACAGCAGGAAGATAAACATAGTGTGTGGACAAAAGACTCTTTGGGTTTATTAGATAAAAAAATAAAACAGGATTTTTCTATTATTTTTTACATTAGCTTTATAGAACAATATATTTATCATTAAGTAATTTCATAATTCTAATTTTCATGAAACGTTTTATCTTTCTAAGTAAAGATCAACTGTAACTGCCCTTTGCAGTTTTACAGAACATAAATCTTTTTAAATGAATTCTATTCAATAAATCAATAAAAATTAAAGCGGCCTGTCTGGTTGACAGACTAAAAGAGTTTTTCATTGTAACACGAATCAGGGCTATATGTTTTATAAATATACTAATGTTATCAGATCTCATATTTATCTCTTCTGAATGAATGAACAGTTATTCTAAGTTACAAATTTAAGTGAATTCTATAAAGATTTGGAAAAAAAAAAAAAAATCATAAAAGATGCAATGTTTGAATACAGCAGATGAGTGAAAAATTGCCCGTACAACTAACAATTTTTACTTTATCACCAAAGATAATTCCAGCCAAATGTTAACCTTATGAAATAATATACTTTTTTTTTTTTTTAAATTAATTTCAGATTTTTTTTTCATCAATTGTTTATAATTGGTTTAATTAAGAGGATTATTTATTAAAATCAATTGTTTGGACCTTTGGACAAAATTCATAGTTGAGGACTAATACTACTATCTCGTCAAACATGAATTTTGGATAAAGACCTGTCTTTGGCACAGTTAATAGCAGTAATTCATTTTACATGTCCAAAAACCACTTACATTCCAACTCTTTAGCACCTATTACAATTTGGGACTTTACATTTTGCACATGCCACACAGGGGTCAATTCAAGAATGAGTTACGAACTGAATTTTTTTTCTAATGAGTGTGTGTATGTGTGTGCACAAGTTATTACATATGGTGCATATACATAAAAATATTTGTGTATATGTATATACATGCATAATTACATATACACTGTATATATTTATATTTGTAACAATATTTTTTTTATAAATATTGCAAAATTCTAAACTTAAATGATAAGACTATCGCATATATGCAGTCTCAAGTTCTTAAAGAAAGTTAATGGCCTTTTAGGCTACCTCCTTGTGAATAGGAGGGAGGGGCATCAGGAGTTTAGAGATGCTTAGACAGAGCATTGGGAACCACTGGTTTAAGTGAATTGTACATGGAAAGAAGATCCAATATTTTTCTTTTTTGCACCAAAACTAATGAAAAAATTTGTGTGGGGGGAAAAAAACATAAAAATGCCTAACAAAGTAGATATAATAGATTGTTAAAGCCCAATATGAATGTTTTTACTATGTTGACATGTACATCCTACATTATATGATTATTTTCAAATGATTTTGTTAGATTGCTATCAATCACAATTCATCAATCCAATTCTGAAGCATCATTTTATTTTCAGTAGCATTAACTTTTTTGTATAAAAATTATTCATTACAAATTTTTTATACAGCTATTAGAATTATGCATCATTAACTCTTTTTTTCCGTTACTAACACTTGCTTTATTTCCTAACCAATGTATTTTTATTGTAAAATCATTAGCAAAACATTTACATGATACATCTAATAGCCCTTTACTATCAATTATGCTTGCTTTAATTCTTGAACAATGATAATCCCCCTTCCTCCTGATTTTCAATGCATAAAAAGCCTGTAAAGTACTGAATCTAAGAAATTGTTAATTTTAGTGTTTACATATCAGTTTTTTTTTTCTCATGACACCAGAAATATTTGGTTTGCTAATGCATAAAATTACTAAAGCTAAGTCAAATATGATAGAGCAGAAGTAAAGTGATAATCAGTATAAAAAGCTGAAAAACTTGCCAATGTATACTGGATTCAAATGTAATAGGTACTAAAATATAAATTTAATTGTTTTATTCTTGTTCATCACTAGTTTCAAGAGCCACTTAAATATCTAATAAGAATGAATGAATGATTCAACATATCTGCTTACAAAATCCTGCTTCTGATATATCACAGGTTACATAAACAGCCTATAAATAGAATAGTCTGTTTAAATCCATATTTACAAAGTCAAAGATCAAAATTTGCTGTGTTTACAAAAAGTAAGAAATTTGTTGTTTTTTAGCATAGAATTATTAATCTTCATTACAGAATCTGGCATAGTGATACCGTTTGGCCATGGTAAAGAAGCAGAACACAGTTTACTATGTTTGACAGAAAAGAATTTCCAACAAGATAGATACTAGATTCAATCTACATGTTTAAATGAAGAAAATGCATTGCATCCTACCTTAAGTGGTTTGGGATGTCCTGGTACACACTTGCCATTCATTTCTTCCATTGCCAGAAAGGCAGATGAAGTTTTGCTGAACTTAATATATACAATTCCTATAAATAAAAGGAGATAGAAAAACTTAGAGATACAGCAGTTGGTTATCAAAAAAAAATAACATCAATTATTGATCAAAATGTTTTACCTCTACTTAACATTTTTATTGCAACTTTGTGGCTTTTGCCATTAAATCAGTAATTTAACTTACATGGTCTTTTTGATTAGCTCTTTCTAACACTAGGCCTAAAATAGCTAAAAAAAAATTTACAACATAAAGAGGAACAGTTAGAAATATATCAGTATTATTATTGTACTAGTGTATCCTGTCCTGTCAAAATTTACTGCAAATGTTAAAAAGTTTTAATATTGAGATGCAATGAACCAATAAACGATTTGAGATACAGTAAAGAAGAGATAAAGAGTTCACAGCTAAAATAGAGGTCGAGCTATTTAATTATTCTGTTCCCTTTATATGTTTTAGACATTCAATGGTATCTATGATACATTGATTACTCTTGGTATTAGATAAAATTGCTTTTTGCTCAGTATCTTTTCATGTTAAAAATTTTACATGTTTAATATAACAGTGGAGTGGAAATATCTCTCAGGAGAAAAAGATTAACAGAAGAATAAAAATGGTGATGACAAAGCCTATCTCAGGATCAAGTTGAAGGAAAACAATCAGTTAATAGACAAAGTTCACAGGGTGCCTCACACGAAAGGTCTAAACAAATAAGATTGCAATTTAAGAAAATTAGGTTAAAGGAATCGATTAAGTAAATGGTTCATTTTGCTCAAGAACTAATCTTTCTAAATGGCAATAAATATTTACTTGTACAGGTCTTCAGGTCATGTCAGACCCAATGTATAGTGTTTTGTGGTTACGGTAGCTTCTTCTATAATATGTTTTCATGTAGCACTATATGAAGACAGCATTATTTCTTCACTGGCTGTATGCCATATTGGATTGTACTATATTCACTCTCATTTGTGCCATTCTTTTTTGGGAACTTTTTGCTCCTCATTATGGCTCCCAAGCATAAGGCAGATTGTATATTAAAACAACTAAGAGAAGCAATCATTCATAAATTTACTAGCTTTTTACTACAGATGGGACAGGAAATGTATAAATACACATTAATAATTATTATATGGTTTGATGATTGATTATTTATTCATTCTATAAACAAAGATGAAAATATCAAACCAAATCCTAACCACCATGATGAAAAGCTTTTAACCTTATTCTGGCCAGAGACGTATATTATCTCCGTACAAATTCTTTCACTTGTACCTGAAGGTACATTTGGTTGTCTTGAGAGGGTTGCTAAAAGTAAACACCTGTCAAATGTTATTTCTGGTATTTTAAGCTGGAAACAGCCTACTCGATGCAGAATGAGGTTAAATTTGTTTTCCAATGCCATTTTTCATTGTAAAACATCTTTTAAACTTGCATGCATTTTATTCTGATTTTTTACAAGCAAAAATGTTCACATCTGAGCTTTTATTGAAGAATTATTAGATTCAGGCTCTGATGACGACTCTAAAGGCTTTACTCAGAGACTATTGATGGTGAGGTGGTCCAAGATGATAAACATGGTAGTGGCAGGTAGAAAAGTTTAGGCTTTAGGATTGTGTATTCTCTGCTAGAAAACTAACAGTCAATGATGTTCCACAGAAAATGCCCAAGAAAGGTTGGTGCTAACAGAACACCACCTTAAGATTAACCATTACCATGCTAATTTCTTTCTAGAATTGTTCCCCCGCCACTGCAGGGGGTGGTATGAACACATACTGTTTTAAAATTGCTATAACTTTCTTTGTATTGTGCATATAGATTTTAATTTTTGCACACTAATAAAAGAATGAATGAGCAATATTTTGATGGAATGCATTATGTTTTGACATTGAAAACAAAAAAAATTGAAACAAAATAAAAAACAAATACATTAAAATATACATAAATAATTCAACATAATTAAACTTTTATTACTCCTTGTGGAGTTCTGGGGGGTGCAATAGGAAGCAAAATCACTAAGAAGACTTTCATTTCATCAAAAAAGTGACGTGTTTTCTTGTGTTTACATACGATAAGACTAGCATCTGTTTGCTCTTTCTTTCACCTGACTCATATTTGTTCATTTTCGTTTACAAAAAAAAAAAAAAAAAAAAAAATAAATTAATACGGGTTTAATCAGTGTTACACCTCATGTAGAGTCTAGAAGAATGACGTTGGAAAACTGGAAGCTTAACCTTGTTCCAAAGCAGCAGTAGACCATTTCCAGCTTAAAATACCAGAAATAACAGCTAACAAGTGTTTATTTATAGCTACTGACTCAAAGCAACAGAATGCGCCGAGAGACACAACATGAGAAAATTCTATGGCGACAATTTTCTCCTGTAGCATGGTAACGGTTAACCCAAGCCCCTGAAATTTGGCAAGCATTCTCATCTAGATTGTGCTGTTTTCTCAAACCAAGACAAAAAGCACCACCAGACCCAGTTCGTGTGCAGAAAGTATGATGTGACAATCTGCCGATACACCTTCTACAGTCTGGTAGAATATAAGGTAAACTGTACCCGAGAACTCCACAAGTAGTAATAAGAGTATATTAATGTATTTGTTTTCTTAATTTTGTGTTTTACAACATTTTCTTTTCAAATGTCAAAACTCACATGAATTGCATCAAAATACTACGCATACATTCTTTTATTAGTATAAAAAATAAATTAAGTCTATGCACATATAGGTACCTCCACGAAATCGCTAAAAAAAGAGCATAGCTTGATGAAAAAGACGCCAAACTTGCGAAAACTAAATTTTATTGTCTAAATGCTTATGTTATTATTAAGAGGAAAGACCAAAGTTTTTTTTTAATTATTTTTAAAAATTTTCCTTCTTTTTAGAACATTCTAAATTTTGATTAAAAAACCTTTTTCTATTTGTATCAGCGGAACTAGTAAATAACAGACAATTTTAGCACGTTTTTTTTGGTATGACACACATTAATTTGAAAATCGTGCAAAAAATAGAAATAATTATCGGATGTTAATGAAACTTTCAGAAACTATTCACAGATGATCGAAATTATTATATGTTTTTTTTTTATGAAAGTCATGGTAGAAATATTTTTTTTAAATATTTATTACCCCCCACCAAACTAATTTTATGAAAACGCTAGAAATTGATTGCATCGGTTTTAGTGATTACAATAATTAAAAGCACAGGGCTTTGAGGAATGCAAATCATGTTTTTTTTGTTTTTTAATTGATACGCAGTACCTGAAAATCAGCTCTGAATTGTAACATACAAAACTCAATAAAACAAATATATTATTTAATTTCAAATGCTTTTATTTGCTTTTAGTTGTTTTATGAATATGGACAATATTTTCTGAAAGCAAAAAAATTTTTTCGATGAAAATGAATTTTAATACAATTATTTGTTATTTCATTAATTATAATAGATTTTACATTTAAGTTGTTAAAATATTATAAAATTAGTTAAAAGCCAGATCGGCTTTCATAAGTGTCCTTATGAGATAGATCTTTTTTTTAGCGTTGTAAATTGTATCATTTTGACTAATCAGAAGATCCCCAGTAATTAAGAAATGTAGTTTTGTGCTTATAATCGAGCTGTAATTATAAAATACGGAAGACCAACCAGAATATAATTAAGTTGCGTTATTTGAGTTAAGCATTGTTCTCCGCTGTTAAGGCCTTTACTTTTTTTGAAACACGTGTGGAGAAGTTAATTTGATTTTCAATTTCAACTGAAAAGGGTACCTACAAGTATCAGTATCATCTTATGAAATTTACATGATCTTATTTTTATATTAATCTCAGTTACGACATTTTCCATAAATGAAATATCAAAATTAATAATAAAATGAATGCAAATAACAGTAGAATGTAATAAATGTACATAAAATTATAGTATTTTATGTACAATTCTGATAAAAATTTCATAAGAAAGATACCTATAAATTAATTAGATACCTTTCTTAAGAAATATGAAATTTAATGTTACTCTTAACAGTTTTATTTTAATTTTTTACAATATATTTCCCATAAAGCATCATAAACGTAAAGGTGAAAGCTAAGTAAAAAAAAAAAAAAAAAAAAATTAGACCGCTGAAAGTTTTCGTTAAAAATAACGGGTAAATAATTTGTTCACGTAAATGTAAATTATTTCACTTTTCTCCTTCCAGAGAACAAATTAGCCTCATGGAATTGTAAATATATCATTCATCACATGTCAAGAGACGCGAAAGTTTATGACCTGCTTTGTTTTATTTTCAAATTACATCTTTTTGGCACAAAAGCTAAGTTAAGTTTGGTTCAAAATATTTTAAATAAACATTATAATTTCTGATTTTCTTAAAATAAGTTTTGAAAAAATGATAATTGATATTTAAAAAAATTTCAAAGTCAGATTTCCAGTTTTTTTAAAATGGAAAAAAATGGTCAATTTTGCTGACTCAAAAAAAACTAGATTTTTAACGAAAATTTCGGACGTGCTAGGAACGATTAAAAAATGGAAAAAATACCCCCAAAATACTTTGACCTTTCCTCTTAATAATAACAAACATTTAGACGATAAAATTTTGTTTTCGTCAAGTTTGGCGTCTTTTTCATCATGCTATGCTCTTTTTTTAGCGATCTCGTGGAGGTACCTAACATAATACAAGAAAGTTATAATAATTTTAAAACTGTAGGTACTCATGTTTTGATTAGTGACAGGAAGAAACAATTCTCGAGGGGATTGATGACATAAAGGTTAATATACTTTTATCTATGTATGGTGTCCATTACACTTGGTTTCACAGATACTGAAAGGGAAAGGTAGTAAAACAAAACGAGAGACAAAAAGAGTGTGCCACAAAGACGAATTAGAGGAGGGAGTCATCTTAGATAAAAGCGGTTGTTTGTAGTGAGGGGTTAAACCAGGTTTTGCGATCTAATGATATGCTGAGGAAAAATTTGTCTCTAAATTACAAGTGATTTTTTGAAATTAAAATCAGAGAGGGATTGGTGGAGGGTCATCTTAGATAAA